TATTGATTTTTTTTTACAGAGAGGGATAGAGAGTTAGAAACATAGATGAGAGAGAAACATCGATCAGCTGCCTTCTGCACACCCCCTACTGGGGATGTGCCCACAACCAGGGAACATGCCCTTGACTGGAATCGAACCTGAGCCGACTGTTTATCCACTGAGCCAAACTGGTCAGGGCTAAATCTTGTTTTCTTATGGTTTCCATTTGCCTGACATAGTCTTTGTTTATCCTTTTATTTTTAACAGTCCTGAATCATTTTGTTTTAAATATGTCTCTTGCTTTCATCATATTTGTTTTTCCTTGGCAATCTTATATGAAAATATTTTTTGAATTAAATTTATTTATTAAACACTAGGGGCCCAGTGCATGAAATTCATGCACAGATAGGTTCCTAGTGGCTGCTGGCTGCCAGCTGCCGGCACCTCCCCTGGCTACCAGCTGCTGGCCGGGGCCTTCCTTTGTTCTGTGCTGCCCCCTAGTGGTCATTGCATGTCATATCGAATGATCGAACGCCTGGTCGGTCAAATGCCTGGTCGGTCAAATGCCTGGTCGGTCGAACTCCCGAGGTGGACACTTTGCATATTAGGTTTTTTTTGTTTTGTTTTGGTTTCTTTTAAATATATTTTATTGATTTTTTACAGAGAGGAAGGGAGAGGTATAAAGAGTTAGAAACATGGATGAGAGAGAAACATCTGTCAGCTGCCTCCTGCACACTCCCCCAGGGGATGTGCCCGCAACCAAGGTACATGCCCTTGACCGGAATCGAACCTGGGACCCTTGAGTCTGCAGGCCGATGCTCTATCCACTGAGCCAAACTTCTTGCTGAAGTTCATTCTCTAGTAATTTCCTGAAGAAGGTCCTGGGAACAGCATTCTTTGAGTTCTTTTGTGTTCACTGTATTCCATTTTTGTAAAAAACAGTTTGGCCAGATATAAAGTAAGTTTGATCCCAATCTAAAGATCTTGTGGGTGGTGCTCCTGTTTTACAATATTGAATGTCACTGTTGAGAAATCTGGAATAAACCTGAATTAGTTTGCCATTCATAAGTAATTTGATGTTTTGGCCTGGCTGTTCACAGGATTTTTATTTTGGAAGACTGATAATTTTATACTAACCTGACTTGGTACTTGGTTAGTATAAATTTTGGGTCAATTTCTTCTCTAACACACATTTTTTTTCAACTTCTTTATTGGTGTCTTCCTTTATTTTAATGCAGTTTTCTTGATTTATATTTTTAAATATTTATTCCATAAAGTTGTTTTGCTCTTTTGTGGAGGGAGTATTGTCCAGTATATTTCTTCAGTGTTTTTGGTCTGGCATAGCTGTCATTTTCTTTCTAGTAGTTTTAACTCTTTCTTTAAAAAGCAATTACATGTTTTTCTCATTACTAGCCCATGCCATCTATTCATCTATTTAATTTAATTTATTATTTTTTTTTATTTTACAGTGTCTATTCTCACTATATTCCATTTTTTCTGCTTCGTCTTTATCTCTCTAAGTTGATTTTCTACTTCAATTTTGCTTCTTTTTTTTATGTCTTCTTTTTGTCTTGCCATTTCCTCTTGTCCATGTGATCTTCCAAATAGACACAATTGCTTTATTAAGTTTTTTACAAACTTTAGCAAAATTTTTAGCCTGTTACCATCTTGCATGCTTCTGCTCCAGTTTTTGTGTGTGTTTTTTTGTCAGAAATTTACATTTTCCTTCTTTTTATCTTAAAGTATTTTTGTTTGCCAGTAGATGTAAGTTCCTATCATTGAACAAATTGGATTTCTCGGCTGTTTTGTGCAAGGCTCCTATTGGGGAGCATAGGTTTCCAGGATAATCTCACAGCCTACTACTCTTTGCTGGACAAAAGGCTTCCTGAAAGTGTGACTTGTGTGTCTGAATTTATAAGTAGCATTGCCTTTTCTACTTCTTTCTACCAAGTGAGGGCTGGGGGACTTCTGCCATTCTTCTTGCGCCAGCTCCTATACCCAATTTTGTAAACAAAGGCTATAGCTTTGGACTTCAATATGTGTCTTTCACTTTTAGAATGTATATTTTTGCTGAGGCTTTCTAAGATCTTTACTATTAGGTCTTTTTGACTGCGTCGATCTACTTCCAACTGCATGTCTTCTGTCTAAACTTGGCTGCTTTTAGTAGTGTTTTCAATGTGGAGTCTGTGGAGTTTAGTCTGGCATTTAGTTTCAGTGAAAATAAAATTTTTAGAATTTGGTTGTTGTGGCTTTTGGGTGAATCCCAGAAGGAGAAGGGGAAAATTTAGACTTACATAGGATGATCGTATGGGGAAGTACTATTTTACTATTTAAAAATGGTACCTATCTTCTTTGCTCTGAAAATCCTACCTAAATTTTTCAGTACTAACAAAGTAACAGAACATGGTCTATCAATGGAAAGGAATGAAAATGAGAATGAAGTTCAGATGGTGTCTGCTGTTTGTCAAATTACAGTATATTGAAATAAAGTTTTTAATATTGCAGAATGTCTAACCCATGAAAAGAAGGGATAAACCAGGGGCAATAGCGAAAGGCTAGGGTTTAATAAAGATGACCAATTGATCTTGGACTATAGGTCAGCCATGCAAATCCATAACTTTACCCTGTCCTCCTATAAAACCTTAAATCAAGACTGGTTCTCATTTCTTCAGTTACTGTCTTGCCTTTTGAATATTTTGTTTAGGTATTTTTGCTGTCCTCTCAGTTATTAAATCCTTTAACCTAGTTCAATTCACCTTGTCCATTCTTAGTTGTCAGTGGTTTATCAATTCAGCTATTTTATAAGGACATGAAACCTTGTTTAAAAGATACTGTTGAAGATCCTATCTTACTTACCTGTATTTAAAAAAAGAAAATAGAACAGCAAGCAATTAATCATTTGTTACACATATCATAATTTATGGGTAATTAGGGTAAATTTAACTTTTATAGATGTACCAAATTAGAAAATTTTAAAGAATATAAACCTTGCAGCACATTCTACTATAGATTACTAGATTATTTTGTAGGTTTCAGAAAAGAATGAAGTATCAAATATGACTCAGAATAACTTCTACAGTCTGAAAGTCATATTTAATGTTTGAGTATATAAGGTTAGGGAGACTATCCTGTATTACATCATTTTTGTGCATTATAACATTTTCCCATTGTTGTTTGAGATCCTCTCTAGTAAAACTGGATAAGGTGAGAAGTTTGTCTATCAAACTGATGCTACTAATAATATTATTTGTCGTAGTAAGATAAATTTTGAATCATTTTTCTAATAGTGCTGGTAGATTTACTCTGATCCATCTTTTTCTCCTTAAAGTAAAAAACAGCATTTTTAAGAAGAAATTTAGCCTGACTAAAGTCCTTAGAAATAACAACTTTCCTAAGTTTGAGCTCTTCAATATTATTTGTCTCAGGAAGAATCTAGAAATATAGAAAAACCTTTCTCATTTTCCTCTTTGTTATATTTATTCTTTTTTAAAAAATATTTTTATTGATTTCAGAGAGGATAGGGGAGAGAGAGAGATAAAAACATCAATGATGAGAGAGAATCATTGATTGGATGCCTCCTGCACGCCCCCTTCTGGGGATGGAGCCAGCAACCCAGGCACGTGCCCTTGACCAGAATCGAACCCGGGACCCTTTGGTCTGCAGGCCTACGTTCTATCCACTGAACCAAACCAGCTAGGGCCAACTGTGTTTATTCTTAGTAGGGGACTGCAGATGATCATTTTGTATTAGAGAACTAATACATTTATCCTGATTTCGTTTTTGGGCGCAACCTTAACTCTTAAACACTAATTTTGTCCCTATTTTTCAGTCCATTTTATTCAGTATTTTTCCCCCTCTTTTTGGTGTACTTTAGATTTTGTGGGCTTGGTTTTTATTGGTCTCTTTTCCTTTATAGGTTTCAAAACTGAAAAGTGAACAAAATAAGTGCAATTGAAGGAAACGTTATAGGTCTGCTTTGGATCAAAGGCCCAGCTTCTCATGAGACACAGAAAGTTTCACTGATGATCTAACATTTCACTGTGACAGGAGAGGAAGTGGATATTGTTATCTTAGAAATGGACTAGAGTTGCTTTTAGATTGTCACACTTTCTGATGTTGCTACTAATTTACTAAATAACACATTTAAGAAGAGTTTAAGTCAGTTGGTTTATGTTTTAAAAGAATTATCTGGATGGCTATTAAAAAGGCAGATTTCTGGGGTCTACCTCTTGACATTGTGGTTTATTGGTCTGAAGTGGGCCCAGGAATTAGCATTTTGACTAGCACTTTAGGTTTTTCTAATGCAGGTGTTCCTCTGAGAAAATCTACTGTAGGTAAATTTTACACTTAAAATTATGTAAATAAATGAATTAGTTATATCTTGCTAGGGAAAAAAAGCTCATGTATGAAAGTGTTCCATATTAAAATCAGTTTATGTAATATGCTGGTTTTACTCATGAGGAACTAAAAATCCCCTTCAAATATTTAACCATTCTGGATATCAAGATGTAACTGTTGATGTTATCAGGACATACTTGATACTTCTTTCTTTTTCCCCATACATTTTACAGCACTTTGAGTATGGTGAATGGCAGATTAGCTGTGCTCAATGTCCAATTCCAACCATATATTACGAAATTTACTGTGTCACTTAATAATTAGTATATACATTATGACACATAAAATTACATTTCCTTTCTAGACTCTTTCTAGACATGGATATGAAATAAATGATTTTTAGTTTAGTTTTAATTAAAGTATTTAAATCATTATCAATACATCTGAAACAGTTAATTGCAAGGAAGATACTTTTAGATCAATAGCAAGTCCTGATTTTAAGGTTTTCTTTTTTTGAATTGTTTTAGACTATGTATATGCACCACAAACTTTTGGTGAATATTTTTCTAGCTACATTACCAAGCATTGTTTTACGTGGTCTGGCAATGGATTTAAGCACAGAAAATGTGGGGGTATCTGTGTTTTTAAAGGGTAAAGAGGGCTTCTCTTTTGTTCTCTTTCAGTACTGTTGTCCAGACATGATAAATAACTTTTTGGGACTGCCTAAAACTGAAATTTCAAGTACAGCAAATAAAGATAACACTATTGATTCAGAGCAAGGAAAATTGATCATGTTGGTTAATGACTTTTATTATGGAAAACATGAAGGAGATGTCCAAGAAGAACAGAAGACTCACACCACCTTTAAATGCTTCAGTTGCTTGAAAATTCTTAAAAATAATATTAGGTATGTAAATACTTATTTCTATTTGAAAATTGGAATGCTGCAGATAAAATTTTTGTGTTTATCTGGTATTTTTCTGTGCCATTTTAGATTTTTAACACTTTCTACTAACAACAAAGGCAGATTCTCTTGTTGAAAAGCTTTTGTCCTTTCTTGTATTTTAGAGTTGACTCCTGGAGCTACTTGTATTTCTTTTTTTTTTTTTTTTTTTAAATATATTCTATTGATTTTTTACAGAGAGGAAGGGAGAGGGATAGAGAGTTAGAAACATCGATGAGAGAGAAACATCGATCAGCTGCCTCCCGCACATCTCCTACTGGGGATATGCCCGCAACCCAGGTACATGCCCTTGACCGGAATCGAACCTGGGACCCTTCAGTCCGCAGGCCGACGCTCCATCCACTGAGCCAAACCGGCCTCGGCTACTTGTATTTCTTATAAATAACTTAAGAAAGGATGAACATTATTTCAAATAAAGCACAATTAACTTATTTCCCCTATATTATCTGTGATCTAGGAATTTCATGAGATAATTTGTATTTTTAGCTGCTTTTGAATTTGATTTTTCTTTATAAGAACCACTTTTTTATGTTTTGCCCAGTTTGACTTTCTTTTTTAAATATATTTTATTGATTTTTTACAGAGAGGAAGGGAGAGGGATAGAGAGTTAGAAACATCGATGAGAGAGAAACATTGATCAGCTGCCTCCTACATATCTCCTACTGGGGATGTGCCTGCAAACAAGGTACATACCCTTGACCGGAATCGAACCTGGGATCTTTCAGTCCACAGGCCGACGCTCTATCCACTGAGCCAAACCGGTTAGGGCCAGTTCGACTTAATTTTATTTAATGCTCAAATTTGTCAGTTGATATTTATATTTTTTAAATTATTTACATTGCATAAAAAGTGATCTTCTTTAGAGAAGTACCAGTTCCTTAGAAAGAATGTCTGCTTTATTTTAAAATGTAACCCCTTTAAAAATTAGAGATTTAATTTGCAGTGGAATTTTGAAGATTTTATACATGTTTGCTATAAATTTTAGGAACTTAAACTTTATAATCTTTGAGTTACACAGCAAACTCTAGTAGCTGTCATCTTATAAATGAGTTAAAGAACAAAGTAATAAGATACATTGATCAATATTTTCCATTGGCTATATAGCTTTACATGTATATTAGGTATGGTTGTTTTTCCATAATTTTATTATAAAATATTTTTAAACATTCAGCAACGTTTTGTAAAATTTTACTGTGGACACCTGTATACTTACCACCTTGATTCTATCATTAACATTTTACTGTGCTTCTATACTTCCCTTAGGTGAGTTGTGTGTTTGTGTACACAAACATATATACAGATATAAATATGCCTTTCTGTGTTTATCCTTGATAACTATTATTTATAATTAGCATTCTTAGGCATCAGTATTTTACTTCTGGACCCAGTATTTATTTTATTTTCCTGTCAGTTCCTCTTGGGTTCAAAAAGAAGACAGAAAAATCCTGAAATGCACTATGCTATACTTCTATAGCAATTCTTAATGCTTTGTTTATGGTAGTGTTTTAGTTTGCGAAGTTCTTTCACATATATTATTTCATATGATTTTTCACATTTATCTCCTTTTATTAAACTTTAACAGTCATCAATAGAGAATGGTTCTAGCCATTTAACAGAAAGGTATTGTACTTTGTGATATAACACTGAAACAGTATTATAATAGAATTGTCACATATTTCCATATTCTGACCATTTTGATAGTAAAATACACCAGAAAAGTTATGCTAGTGAATATATTAAATTGCATAGAAATATGGTCACTGACTTAGTTCCTTGTTATACCTAAATATTATGTATATTATGTTGGAAGTTATTTTAAGCAACAGTTTTTTGGCTTTTCCTTTAAGATTAGCCCATTTAGTATTAAACATATGAAAATAAAACATTTCCTTTTTTGCTGCTGTTTCAGAAGACTAGATACATATTTCTAGAATATCAGAATTATATAGACATTTTAAAGACAATTTTTTATAACATCCAGGAATTGGGCATTTTTTTTGAAATACTGATTATTTAGTAAATGTAACTTTAATGAAACACTTGATAATAGAAGAAGTTATATATGTTAAATAATATTTTACCTTATAGTAAAAAAATGGAAAGGCAAATTGATATTTGTAGAGAATGGCACAAAACTCACAGATCTAGGTTTTTACGCTTTGCTCTTTGAACATATTGTGGTATGGTATTTTTTTCCCCTACATTGAGTCTCACCAAAAACACTTAGGTTTATTTATTCTGTGAACATCCTTGCAAGAGGTTTGGATTTTTTTTTCATTGTTTCCCTTATTTTCATCTGTTGTTTTAAGTAGTATGAGCTCCTGATGGGGGCTCATATAATAATTGAGGGAAAGCTTGCTAGTTAAGTGATTATATAGATAAACGTTTAATTGCTTAAAGTTGTAAGCTGAAATTTTAATGGCTCACTTTTCTCTATGTGTAAATATTTAACCAAGTCTAGGATTTTCTATAGGTGTTCATAGAGTTGGTATTAAAACCAAAGGAGGACAAAAAGATTTTTCAAGGAGTGTCTTAACCTATTCTAAAGAGAAGTAGTGTTGTGGATATGTGAAAAAGATAAATGTTATGACCTTCATGATGATTGCTGTCCATATTGATGACATTATTACTTTGTTTTAAGATTACTTCCTTTAGGGACTCAAAGTGAATAATTGTTAATAGTTGCCCCAGTCTAAAAATTGTTATTTTGATTGAATAACTTTACTTTCAACTATAGCAAAAAGCTTCAGTAAGCTCTTTTAAATAGGTATTCCCTTTTATATTGCACTCTCTGTTGTTGAAGGTCATAGTTCCTGTTCATAAGAAGCCTCTAAGGGAGGTTGACGTAGCAGGATGTAAGACTGAAAAATGGACTTTGCCTACAAAGGGCACAGTCTGTAAGTTAAAATGAACAGTCTGTGCTAACAGTAAACCAGTATCATTAAATAAAACAAAAAGTTTTTATAATTGTAGGCATTAAAATTGCTAGTACATACATTTAGAAACTAAGACACAAGTAAAAATACCTGTAATTTGTCTTTTAAGCAACTGGAATCTATTGTATATCTTCATGGCCTTGCAGGATTACTCTCATAACTGCGTAGCTGCTTTTGGTGGTAGGGTTTCCTTCCTTTGAGTATTTTATTGAAAAATGTAAATAGTATTTCATGTATAAAAAAGAAGCCTGCTCTTTCACCTTAAGAAAACATTTTAATAATCTGAAACGATTAAATCACAGCAAATTAGTGATATTTCCGATTATTACATTAATGGATTTTTAAAACAAAGATTTAAAAAAAGATGTTTATGTAGTCACTTAATGAAAGTGACTGTTTAGAGTGCACACTTTTCTAGAGGAATGTAATTTATTTCATGTAATATATCTATATTCTAAGATTCAGATAATTATTTGTGAGATTTTTGTTTTTAAATCTGAATTTTGCACCTGTTGACAATCATTTATAGGTTTATGAACCACATGAAACACCACTTGGAACTTGAGAAGCAGAGCAGTGAAAGCTGGGAAAACCACACCACCTGCCAGCACTGCTACCGTCAGTTTCCCACACCATTTCAACTGCAATGTCACATTGAAAGTACACACACACCCCATGAATTTTCTAGTAAGTTACAGTTTCATTTTAAGTATCAAATATTATTGATTTTGTCAATATTCTGAGAAAACCTTAAGCTTGTTAGAACAATAAGAATAAGAAAAAGACTTTGGAATTTGAGGGTAAAATGGAAAAGGTTACATTTTGATTAATATAAACTTTTAAATAAAATTACAAAAATTAAAGTCACTCTTTTAAATAATTAAGAAAAATAACCTGAGCATTATAAGTGGGGGGCTAAGTTAGAAGCCTTAGATCAGTTTTCAAATATGAAATTAATGCCCTTTATTTAAACTTGAATAAGAAAAGTAACTAATAGTGGTAGTTAAAAATCATAGATTTTGGAACTAGACCACTTGGGTTCAAATCCCAGATCTTCCTCTTAATACAGCTATGTGATCTCAGGCAAGTTAATCTTAATATTTGAATAATGGGGATAATAGAAATACTTGCTTCATAATGTCGTTATGGGAATTAAATGAGTTATTGTAAGTAAAGTGCTTAGAACATAGTTAACTGCAAAACTAACTGTTTACCACCACCAAGTCTGCTGTTATTACTGTTATTGTTTATAGATGCATAAAATGAATTTTATATATATATATATATCTTTGTTTGCCTCAGAAGGATACTTTATTTGAAAAATTAAGAAAATATTTTGAAGTATAATTGACATACAACATTTGATTAGTTTTAGGTGTACAGATAATGATTTGATGTGTGTGTATGTGTGGGTATGTATTTATATATTTTGAAATGATGTAATGTCTTCTCCCCACCCCCACTTTTAGCCATTTGCAAAATCTGTGAATTATCATTTGAAACAGAGCATATTCTTTTACAACATATGAAGGACAATCATAAACCCGGTGAAATGCCCTATATTTGCCAGGTATACACATATTTTATTGTGTACTTAGTGTTTGTTTGTTTTGTTTGTTTTCTGTTATTTTGGTTACAAGATTTAAACCTATTAGGCCAGGAGTTAGCAAGTCTTTTACTGTAAAAGGGGCAAATAGTAAATGTTCAGGCTTTAAAGGTCATACAGTCTCTGTTGCAACTAATCAACTCTGCCACTATAGCACAAAGGCAGCCACAGAAAATAAGTAAGTAAATGAATGTGGCTGTGTTTCAATAAAGCTTTATTTATGGACACAAATTTGAATTTCATATAATTTTCTTGTGTCATGAAATACATTCTTTTATTTTCTAACCATTTAGATAAAATTTACTGTTAAAATTCCTCTTGTAAATAATTTATTAGTAGAAAGTCCTGTGACATAATTCATGTATTGTGTATAATGGCAGTAGAGATTTGGAATTGGCCCACAAGCCATTGTTTACTCACTCCTATACGACAAAGAAAAGCTCTGAGGGGAAAAGACAAACTATGGACTTATCTTACTATATAGGGAAGAATATAGTTATACAAGGGAAATATGAAATTATTTTAGATACAGAGCATACTACAAAATTCTCTGGGTCTAGTGTTTTTCCAGAATTTGAAGGAATAGGAAAGCATGATAAAAATAAATTGCCATTGCCATAGCCTGGAGGCAATTTATAATCTAAAGGAAGATGCTGTTTTACATAGCAGAAAAAACTTTATAGGACAAGAAGTGTCAGAGCTTGAAAATTCAAGTCAGGATAGGGGGTGATGCATAAAAACATCTAATGAAAAGAAGGGACTCTAATTATATTTTGGGAAATATTCCTTAACTTGGAAAGATAACTTTTCTGTCTCAAAGATCATCTAGTGCTTGAGTTAATGGGATTCTTGGTTGTGGAGGCATTAGAGCTGAATTAGTTGTACGTAATGTTCTTCTAAATAAATGACGTATTATTACTCGGTAATTGTATATCGTGTACATTTTCAAGTTAAGCTTAACATTCTTTTTGTTTGTAGGTTTGCAATTTTAGATCGTCATCATTTTCTGATGTAGAAACTCATTTTAGATCATCCCATGAAAACACTAAGAACTTGCTATGTCCATTTTGCCTCAAAGTTATTAAAATTGCCACACCCTATATGCATCATTATATGAAGCATCAGGTGAGATGACCAGTTCTTATTTGTTCATGTTGTTTTAGCGAAAAGATAGATTATGACTTAGAAACATAAGGTTTGTTCTACAAGGGAAGTAAAATTGTTCCAAATGACACTGTTAATTTGCAGTTTGTGCTACATTACTTGTGAAACTTCCACTTTACCTTGCTTCCTTTCTGGTGATGTTGTGGCTCATAAGTGAAAATTCTGAAAGATAGCTAGAAATAGGAAACCTAAGGATTGAAGGAAAAAAGGGAAGATGAGTGGAATAAGATCAAATATCTCAGGGTCTGAGAACGTTTATGGGATTTTGAAGGTAGATAACAGGAGCATGTGAAAAGGTGAAGTTGAACTGAGAAAGAAAAGATTGGGGACTCATAATCTTATTTTTTCCTCTTTCTCTTACTACTTTATTGCTACTTTCTAGCCCTCTTATTCTGAGAAAACATGTTGTCATCATTGACCAGCAGTGGTCTTTTATAGCTGCCAATGACAAAGGAAATAGCAATGACACTTATTGCTGGATATGTGAGCATTGTCAAAGAACTGCATTTAGGTCATAATTTGTTTTTTGGGTGACTTCTGCCAGTTCTGCTATGTAATTTTTGGAACCCAGGGTTAGTGCTTATACCTCTATCTTGAATTCTGATTTTTTGCTTACTGGTTCTTTTCCATGAAGCAACTAAACCATCCTTTGTTTGGGCTGAAAACTTTGATGCAACACAATCTGTGCTTTAGTGCTTGAAAGAGCACTAGTGCCAGTGCCAAACCTAGAAGCCAGTGATTTACTGAATCCGATCACGTAACCGAGTTTTGACACCTCACTTCTCGTGATGCTCATCATATTTTTAATCATTGGTTACATTGACATGCCAGTTTATTCAGCATTGGTTGCTCACTTTGCTTTCCATTTCAATCATTAGATAATCATAAAATTGACTTATGGTTTTTAATTGGGAAAAATTATAAAAGAATTTCCAAATGAATTTGGAATTACCTATGTTGTGACTGGGATGCTACCCATCCTTGAGAAGTTGTGTGAAGATTTTTTGTTCTAGGTTTCCTTAACAGTGTTCCATCATGTGTTAATAGATGTTTCCCCCCAAATTGTTACTGGTAAATAAATTTGGTAAATGCCTGGATTTATAAAATTAAACAGTTTTGTGTGTTTCTTAAAATAGGACTTCTCAGAGGTTTTAATATGCTAAAACATTATAAATCTCCAAGTAAGGTATATAAGTATGTATTATTCCCCCAACTTATTTGACCACAGAATCTTTTCAGAAAATCTGTTAACTTTATTGAGGAACAGAGTTTGGGAAACAATACTTCTGGTACTCTTTCTAATGTTTGGCCTTTAATTTTGAAAGGGAAAATGAGATACGAGATAGTAGATCTATTTCATTATGGGACTTTTCATGTAATTTTTCCCATATGCTTTACTAAGCTCTGGAGTAAAATGTAGATGTGGAAGAATGATAATTATGGAAGAAATGTGTGAGCCTACTATGTGGGCTCTGTGATTTATAATCAGTTTTTGTACCCTAAGTTTTATGTCTTAATTTGCCTTGGGTTCCCAGGTTTTTATTGTTTGTTGTTAGCAGTACTTAGGAGGTAGATAGCCAGCGGTAGAGAGAGGGAAATCTATTAATAAGAAGGATATTCAAGCATCCTTCAAGGTATTTACAAATTATATAATTATTTACAAAAGATTGGAAAACCTTAGCTGAGCAGGATTATAAACTTGTAATTGATAACACATTATTAGTGTGATATTAAACAATAAGAATTGTTGACTGTGTGGCTCATTTTATTGTCTTTGAAGATTTTGGTTGTAACTTTTCTCTCAGAGGTTCTATGATTAAGTCTTGTGTGATTTTAGAGCTGACTACCCAATTTGTATGACTTTTAAAATAGTGAAAGTGATTTTTGATGTGTTAAATATGCTCATTAGATCTTTAATAAAAATAACAAGCAGTTAAAACGATATGCAACCATTTTTGGCAGCAGCAGGTGTTTTACATGCATTACCTTATTTAATCCTTACACTTATCCTATGTATATTATTATTTCTAATTTACAGATAAGAAAACTAAGTTTTAGAGAAAGTAACTTGTCAAATGTCACATTACCTAATAAAAAGCAGAGTTAAAATTTTACTTCAAAGCCCAGCCTTCTGTTGCTTTCCCACAGAGTCAGATTTCACATTGGTATTAATGTATAAGGGCAGAAAATACTTATATTAATGTATAAGGGCAGAAAATACTTATAATAAGTCAGAATTACCCTCAAATCCCTCAAGTTTCCCAAACAATGTAGTATGCTTGTCAAAAGTTCTTTTGTTGTTGACTGAACATCACGTTATTAAAATATCAGCATCAGCACTTTTTTTTAAAAAATATATTTTATTGATTTTTTACAGAGAGGAAGGGAGAGAGGTAGAGAGTTAGAAACATCGATCAGCCGCCTCCTGCACATCTCCTACTGGGGATGTGCCCGCAACCCAGGTACATGCCCTTGACCGGAATCGAACCTGGGACATTTCAGTCTGCAGGCCGACGCTCTATCCACTGAGCCAAACCGGTTTCGGCAGCATCAGCACTTTGTAATGCATATATATACATGAGAGATGTTCAAGACTTGTGTCCAACTAAGGGAATAATAGATTAATGTATTCTCTCTCAGGGCTCTGGGCAAATGTTCATTGACTGGAGTGTCAGACGTTTTGAATTAGTTAAATTATACCTGCTGCTTAAATGCATTTTCTCTGTCACTCTCTTTCTTTCTGCCTCACTGTCCGTTTATTTAACAAATATTTATTGGTTGCCTTACTGTGTGCCAGGTGCTGTTTTAGGTTTTTTGTAGCAATGAACAAAACAAAGTTTGTATCCTCTGGAATTCATATTATTGTGGAGAAAGATAATAAAAAATGTGTGTTTATATTTGAGCATATCTGCATGTTAGCTCGTGATAGTTACTGTGGAAGGAAATGTGGAGGATAGGGAGTGCCAAGGATTGGGAAGTGTTGGAGGAGTGTTTGCCGTTTTGTATAGAGAGTGGTCAAAAAGGGCCTCTTTGAAGGAAATAAAGGAGTAAGCCATGTGGAAATCTGGGAGAGGTAAGTGAATTTATACTCAGAGAACAACCAAAGAGGCCAGTTGTGGCCAAAGCAGAGTAAACTAATAAGAGGACTAGTAGGAGATAAGGTTGTAGCAATAGAATATGGGCCTGTTCTTGTAAAGCCTTGTAAATCTGAACCAGGGCTTTAGAAAGCCCTCAGAGCATTATAAGCATGTGAAAGGTCTGCCAGGTTGTAGTACCATTGACAACTATGGGAAGAATACACTACAAGGAGGAAAGAACATGACAGGGAGAAGATAGGAGATTATTATAGTACCCCAGGAGAGTTACTTGGACCAATATGATAGATAGCTATGGTTGGAGGTGATGAGAAGTGGAAATATTATGCAAGTTTTTGAAGGTGAAGCCAACAGGTTTTGTTAATGGGTTGGGTATGGGGTGTGAGAGAGAGTGACCAAATTTTTTGTCCTAAGAATGGAGTTTTCACATACTGTCATGGGGAAGACTGAGGAAAGAACAAATTTTGGGGGGAAGGAATATAGGGAGGATATTCAGAATTCAATTTTGTCCATGTTGATTTGAGGTGTATATTAGACATCAAATAGCAATGTTAAGTAAGGAGTTCGATAGATGGTATCAAAGCCTTGAAACTGGATGAGGTAACTTAAGGAGTGATTATAGATTTAGAAAAGATTTCTGGGAACTGGATTTTGAACTTTGTAAAGAACTTATGAAATGCCTGCTGTGTACCAATAATTGTGCAAGTTCTTCCCAGGATATTAACCTTATTTTAGGTTAAAAAGTGATTGATTATATTTAAACTAGAGGCCCGGTGCACAAAAATTTGTGCACTCGGGGGGGAGGGGGGTCCCTCAGCCCGGCCTGTGCCCTCTCGCAGTCTGGGACCCCTCGGGAGATAACAACCTGCTGGCTTAGGCCTGCTCCCAGGTGGCAGAGGGCAGGCCCAATCCCTAGGTGCAGCCCTTGGACGGGCTCAGAGCAGGGCCGATTGGGGAGTTGGGGTGCCGCCCCCTGTCATGCACAGAGCAGGGCAGATTGGGAGGTTGCGATGCCACCCTCAGTCACGCTCAGGGTAGGGCCAATTGGGGGGTTGCGGCGCCACCCCCTGTCACGCACAGAGCAGGGCCCATCAGGGAGTTGGGGCGCTGCCCCCGTCACACACAGAGCAGGGCCCATCAGGGGGTTGGGGCACTGCCCTCTATCACCCACAGAGCAGGGCCGATCAGGGGGTTGGGGTGCCGCCACTCTCACACTCAGGGCAGGGCCGATGGGGAGGTTATGGCTCTACCCCATCACACACAGCAGGGCCCGTGGACGGGGGGGTGGGGGGGTTGGGAGCTCCCCCCTATCAGGCACAGAACAGGGCTGCTCAGGGGGTTGGAGCCCCGCCCCCTGTCACACACAGAGCCGTGGGGCGATCAGGGGGTTTGGGCGCTGCCCCCTGTCACGCTGATCCCGGTGCCGGGAGGCATATTACCCTTTTACTGTATAGGGTAGAGGCCTGGTGCATGGGTGGGGCCGGCTGGTTTGCCCTGAAGGGTGTCCTGGATCAGGGTGGGGGTCCCCACTGGGGTGCCTGGCCAGTTTGGGTGAGGGGCTGAGGGCTGTTTTCAGGCTGGGAGTGACTGAAGTTCCCAACCGCTCCTTTTTTTCTTTTCTTTTTTTTTTTATTCTGGGCCAGCTTTACCTTGAGGCTTGGCTCCAGCTCTTAGGCCTCCGGGGCTGAAAGTAGGTTTCTGGCCTTTGCTTACAATGTTGCGAATCTGCTGGCTGAAGTCCGGCGGTATTTGTTACAATGTTTCTTAAACTGCCTGCTCAGAGGCCTGCAGCCGCAGGCAGGGAACTTGGTTTCCTCCAACGATCCTCCGTCACTGAGGCAAGCAAGCCTCATGTTAGTTTCAAGCTGCCTGGCTGCCCGCCGCCATCTTGGCTGACAGTTAATTTGCATATCTCGCTGATTAGCCAATGAAAAGGGTAGCGGTCGTACGCCAATTACCATGTTTCTCTTTTATTAGTGTAGATGGTAATGATTTATCTCGCACATTGCAACTTTAGAGAAAACATTCTTTTGTATTTAAGTTTATATGTATGTATTTTTATATGTATATACATAAGTACTTTTTAAATTAATGAGACCATATAGATAGAGTTTGTAGTTGATATTATGTAGTAGGAAAAATGTTGGGTCAGGAATCTGGCAATGTTACTTAGTAGTTATGGGGAAATGATTTAGATTTTTCTTGGGTCCTATTTCCCATCTATAGCATAGTGACAGGGTTGGTTTTAAGGAGGGGCTCAAGTCAAGGTGTCTCAATCAGTAAGTGTATCAGGGATAGTTTTGATTTATCCCTCCATATTCACACTATTCAGTGTGGTAACCACTAATCATTTGTGACTATTTAAGATTAAATAAATGTCCAGCACATTTCAGGTACTCGGTTAACTACATGTGGCTGGTGGCTACTGTATCGGACAGTGCAGCTCTTGAACATTTTCATAATTGAAGAAAATTTTATTAGCTAGCACTGCTTTATACAAGCATTTCTATAACAACTTTCTTTAAATGTCTGGTTAGATTCTTAAATTTCTTTTACCAACTTTTAACCAACCAGAAAGAGCAAAAATGACAAAGAATTTATATTTTTCTGGGATAAAAACATAGTATAGCTCATTTTCATAGTATCCTGTGTCTAAATACTTTAAAATTATAATTAATGGAGCTTTAATACCACTATTGAGATACCTTTCATTAGAAGCTATTGATACAACTTTCATGTTCAACTTCTGTACAGTAACAGACATTTTTGAAACCTAAATACTAATGCAAAGAGCATTTTAAAAATTGAAATAATACTTCACTAGTATTTATGATGAGAGATATAAGATACTATTTTAAAAATTATTTAGGTATCATTAATGTTAAATCAGAACAGTTGCAGGACACAGGATTTGTGGTTGTAGACATTATTTTTCCTGTTTTCTACACAGAAAAAAGGAATACATCGTTGTACAAAATGCAGACTGCAATTTTTGACATGCAAAGAGAAAATGGATCACAAGACTCAGCATCATCGAACATTTATAAAACCTAAAGAGCTAGAAGGGCTACCTCCTGGAACAAAAGTGAGTGTAAATATGTTGTATTTTAACATATGGTATGATAATAAAATTAACTCCTATCTGGTTTTATCCATTGAATATAATACTTTAAAAAATGGTTTCTGATTTTTATTAAGACTCCAATGTCAAATTTTAGCATTCTTATGTTTAGAAAAAAAAACCTAACCATTGTTTTTCTCAGTGGTTGTGTGTGCTATGCTAGAATGGTATTCCTTTGTAAAAAATGCAACTAGATATTGTGTTTCCTGGGTCAGTGGGTTGTGTCAATATTATATAGCCTATTTTTGAGCTATTCTTGTAGGCAGTATATATATATATTATCTGCTAAACTATTAGAGATCAGGAATCATGATTTATTTATCTTTGTGTCCTCAGCATCTAGTATAGTGTTTTGAATGCCATAGGTTCTTAGATGTTTATTGAAGTTGTTATTACTGAGTCTACTCTCAGAGAAACAAGTTCTGCTGCTGGATAGCATTGTGTTTTAAGTGAGCAAACACATGTCTGACTACATACTGATGATTGTATTTTACCTTTCCCTTTTTGCCTTATATTCCTGTTTTTTTCTGACTTCTTTATATACAGTCAGCTCTTGAATATTTGCTCCAGTGGAGGGAAACAGAGGCATGGATAATCCAAAGTGAAATAATCCCCAAAACATTTATATTTGGCTTTGGGTACTTACCTTTGAATGTGGGTATGTCTGTTATTTGAATTAACTAAACAATATAAAGCCATGCTCTGAAGACCTAGAGCAAGAGAAGCTATCCAGCATCCTTCCCTGCAATCCATTCATTCCATGCTGGGACTAGACATGCGTAACATGAATGTAAGCGGTGCAGTCCTCTCTCATATTTTCCCTTATTAATGATAATAGCAATAATAATATTAATAATGATACTAAATGTTTTTCTTGCACCTTAGAATTAGGCTTTCAGTATGCTTTTTCATAGATTCTTTTATTTAATTCATACAGCAATCTGGTGAGATAAACAAAGTAGGTATTGCCCCATAGTATTTAGGTAAAGAAGCTTAGAGAGGATAAGTTACTTATTCTAGGCCACGTGACTAGGAAGGAGTTGTATGAGATTTAACTTCAAATCTGATTCCTAGTTCATTGCTTTTGTATGCTGCCACACATGTTTTATAGGACTTCCTCATAGACTACTCATAATAAATACATGAGGGGAGAATAGTCATATGATTAATGAGAATGTTGGTAGGCGTTTGTGTTTTCCATTGTCAACTAAACTAATATAATTTTTGAATACTACCTCATAAGCTTTATATTAGTTCTCTTTAAGGAAATTCTAAATGTTATTACACTCTCCATGAAGTATATTGAATTGATGTAGCCCCTCCCACCCCACAACCTTTGTAAACATAAATTCTGCTAAATGAGCCCCTGGAAAGAGGAGGTCACATTTACTGTAGGTAATGCAGGGCACACTTACTGGGGGTAATGCAGGGCAAAGGGTAATGCAGGCCTTTCCAGAGTTATTTTTCAGGTTTTGAGATTTAAATTTTGACCTCTATATAAATATTTTAAATTATATCAGAGCATAAAGATAGCTATGGAATGTGCTCTTTTTAATACCCATATAATTCCTAATTATCCATTAATAACAACATTTAACTGATCAGTATAAAAATGTAAGTAAATATTAAATTTTAATTTCATTTAAGTATTTAAAATAAATGAAAGACTTGTCCAATTATAGTTTATACTTATTCTTTTAAAAATACTTGATATTTAACTTTTTTGTTACATGGTGATATTTTAATACTTATGCAAGGATTAATTATCTAAAGTAAATATTATCTCTGTTTTTGTAGGTTACTATTCGAGCTTCAGTTGGACCTCTTCAATCAGGATCTTCAACTGTACCTTCCATTAGTACAAACACTTCTACCCTTCAGGCCTCACCTCCGAGAACAAAATGTGTAACTGCTAAAAATCCCACAAAATCTAACACAAATAAATTTACTACAACTAAATCTAATGCAAGTAAACCTACTACAAGTAAGCCTAATGGAAGTAAATCTAAATTCAAATCAAAAGTCTCTAATATGCAGAAAAAACAAAGCACTTTGGCTAGTAGCAACAGAAAAAGTAAAGTCAATACAGCATTGAGGAGCTTAAGGTAATCTTTTATTCCTGATATATAATACTAATTTAATCTTAAATAAAAGAATAAAACCTTTATTTAATCTAAATGTATACAACTCTCAACTTTCATATGCTATCATTTATGGCATAAAGACCAAGCAAATAATATAAGTATTTTTTTTTTTAACAACTCTTGTTGAACAGTACTTTCCTATATTTTTCCTATAATATTCATCTATTATATTGGTATTATTATATATTATGCTTCTATCTTATGACATTTGAATTGGTTAATTTCTTTTATTCCAGTGACAGGCATTAACTGATATTACACTTATCCTAGCTGTTGTTTCATAGCAAATTTTCAAGTTATAAGTCTGTTTAAATATGTTCATTTAAACAGCGTGGTTTTAATTAACAGAACATTAATAAAGCTCTCCCTTATTATTTTTGTTTTAAAATATACTGTTACCATTTTCTTTATATCTCCATAAGGTATCGTCGGGGAATTCAAAGGTGCATTGAGTGTTTTTCCGAAATAAAAGATCTTTCAAATCACTTTCCTACATATGTCCACTGTAGTTTTTGCAGATACAACACTAGCTGTAGCAAAGCCTATGTGAATCATATGATGAGGTAAGATGAGTTAAACATCTGTAATTACCAATTGAATTATAATACAACAGGTTTGATTTTTGAAAACAGTTATCCTGTTAGAAACCAATTTTTTTGTTCAAGGAGCTAAAAACATCTAGCAATAGAGAATTTCTAGGATAATGTCTGGTACTGTTTTCCAGCATAGTGACTCATAAAATTACTGTAACTAAAATTGTAAGAACATTTAGACTAAATAAATTATATAGGTCTGTTTGAGAAATAGTTTTTGATGGGAATTTCTTTTTCCTATAGGACTTTCAAAATGGTTATTTTTAAAGATAAAAATTTAAATGTTTCAAATATATTTACCAAACAAATGCATGTAATCTCATGAGTGTTATTCTCTTCAAAGCAGTCACTTTGAGAGACTCCAGGATTTTCAGTGGTGCTAAGAACTTGATTGAATCTGTTTCTCTCTCATCCCTCTGTCCACCTATCTGTCAAGCTATCTATCCTTGCATTCAGTCAGTAAAATGAGAAACTGTTCTAGTTATGATGCCATTATTGGAATTTTTTCATTAATTCACTCAACTTAGAATATTTGAGTACCTAGTATATATGTACAGTATGTAGAGAAAGCCTCACAGATCACATTCATTTGTATCTTATTAGTAGAATCATCTTTTAGGATGGATTTTATTTGTTAAAAATAGTAAAAAATTGTTCAGATATAAGCTAGTTAGATTGTTTCCTTTTTAAAAAAGTCAGAATTAAAGTATAATGAAAGTGATTTTCTCATAAATCATAACATGACCTTTATGTTACTTTCTGATAATTATCAGCTGCTCCTCTCAAGAATTCGCCCACCTTTCTTGATTGCTTCCACACCTTTCTCACAGTTCTCCCTCCTCCCCACCCCCCTTAATTAACCTAACCTTATGATACCTTACTTTTTGTGCCAGCACTTTACATCAACTTTTAAGTTATTGTATCCCCCTTTTTACTTTGTAGCATTATAATCTCATCATATGTATGTTTATTTCTTTTGAATTAATATTTCCCTGTCACTTTCAGAGCTTTGACTCCTCTTTCCAAAGTCCAATAGCACTTCTCTAACTTTATAGTCAACCTCACCCTCAGGGTGATCTGATTTGATTGTTGCTTTGTTTTTGTTCTAGATTTCTTTTTTTAAAAATATATTTTATTGATTTTTAACAGAGAGGAAGGGAGAGGGATAGAGAGTTAGAAACATCGATGAGAGAGAAACATCGATCAGCTGCCTCCTGCACATCCCCCACTCGGGAATGTGCCCGCAACCAAGGTACATGCCCTTGACCGGAATCGAACCTGGGACCCTTGAGTCTGCAGGCTGACGCTCTATCCACTGAGCCAAACCGGTTAGGGCTAGATTTCTTTAAAAAAAAAAAAAATGTTTTTATTGATTTTAGAAAGAGAGGAAGGGAGAGGGAGAGATAGAAACAGTGATGAGAGAAACATCAAATGGCTGCCTCCTGCACACCCTCTACTGGGGGTCGAGCCTGAAACCCCAAGCATGTGACCTTACTGGGAATCTAACCGGTGACCGCTTGGGACTACCAGCTGAGCCGCACCAGCTGGGCTCTTTTAGAATTCTTTACCTAACTCGTTTATATCTGAACAATTTTTTTTCCCTATTATCTTCATCCCAACGTTGATCTCAGAAATAATGATGTTCTCCTTCTACAAAGTTAACCCTGATGTTCTACTTCTACAGAGTTAACCCTATTCCTCATCTCTTCTGGTTCTTCTACCACCTTATTCACTTAACTTGCTACTTTATCTCCTCTCAACCAGGTTCCTTCTGCTTACTTTTTTTTTTTTTAATCCTCACCGGAGGATATTTTTCCATTGATTTCAGAAAGAGTAGAAGAGAGAGAGAAAGACAGAGAGAAATACTGATGTGAGAGAAACACATTGATTATTTGCCTCTTTGCACATGCCCCAACCAGGGCCGGGGAGGAGCCTGCAACCGAGGTACATGCCCTTGGCCAGAAACGAACCCAGAACCCAGGACCCTTCAGTTTGCAGGCTGACACTCTATCCACTAAGCCAAACCAGCTAGGGCTACACACATTTTGAGGTTTTGTGTTTTTTTTTTAAGATGGAGATTTGTCTCTACTGCCTACTTTCCTTATTTCTTGTCTTTCTCTCACTGTTTTACATTGGTACAAAGTGTTTGTTACTAGCTTATTATTTCTTTACCCTTAAATTTGAGTATCATCCCCACCTGCCAACTAACCATGCCCTTTAAAGATGATCTGTGTTGTCATTCACTTTTGAAACTATTCTCCTCAGCTTCTGTTAAACTGTTACCACTCTTTTTCTTCTTCCTTTTTGGCTGCTCCTCTACTTCATTGCCTTTTCTTTCTCCAACATTCTTGCCTCTTTACATTTCCATTGCTGGTAACTTAACCAATGTCACTTTTACCTTTCAACTTTAAATCTTTCCACTTTAATGCTTAGTTTTCCAGAGAGCCAACTGTATATTTTTAATTATCTTATAGAAAATTTCCTTTGACTCACTGGCATCTAAAAGGAACAAAATTAAGCCAAACATTATATCATCTGCAGAAATCAGACAACTGCCACCCAGATAACTCTTTCAGGGCATCATCTGTTTGACTGTGGAACACCAGCTGGAAATAACTCACTGTTCCAAGTTTCTTAAGCTCATGAAGTTCTCTTGATTTGCCACTTTGCATGGCTTCCTGCATACCCCACCTCTTGCATTTTGCCACTTTGCCTCCCAGCTACTGCAGTGGTATACACCTATATTCCATTTCCTCTAAACCAGGCCTCAAGTGTTCCTTCTCCCAGTATACGTCTGTGTGAAGCTTCTTATTCTGTGACAAATATGCTGCTACCCCAAATGGGGCTTTAAATCTGCCCTTAATTTACAGGGGTTCAGATTGGAAAATCTTGTGTCATTCCACCCTTCCAACTCTCATTTATCATATACTTCCCACTTGTCCTATACAACCTCCAAATCCATTCTGTTCCAAAACATTTTCAATGAGCCCGACTCCCATACCCTTTTCCCAATTCCTCAGTGAGCCCCAACCTTGCATTTCATTGTCATCACACATGCGAAGCTCTTATTCATTATTAGCTTCATATGGAACTGAAAGCTTCCACTGCCACTCTTGGGGTGTGGTAGATCCCCTTTCCTTTTTCTCTACTTCACTGGTGCTCTTGCCTCACTGCCTTTGGTATCTCCCATTGAATGGCCCATCAGTACCACTGCCCATTTTGGATTCTTGTTATAACCTTGAGTTCTGTAGGTTCAGAAGTTACATTTTCTCCAGAGGATGAGTACATTTAATTCCTATCCGTACCACCTCTGTACTCTCAATTGGTCTTTTCCCCTCTGGTCTTAAATCTGCCCCAGTCATTCTTTCTGTAAAGACTCCCATCCCCCTGAGTTGACTACTCTTTTCCAGAGTAAAGTCTCTTCCTGTACTCATTTTTGATAGTGGTTTTCCTTATTTTTGTTAGTCCCTGTCCTTCCTTTCAGTTGGCCTTCTTTGAAATGTTTGGTCACCACAACCACTCACAAGGATCATTCCTTCCTTTGAGTTGTGTACTGTTCATTGATTCTGCCTTCTATTACATTTGTTTGTGTCTGAATATCTCCTTGAAAGATGGGGCTCTTTGTATTTACCATGTCATCTACAACATTACAAACAGCAATTGATAGTTATTATTTGTTATACTTATAAAAGGCTCTACATAAAATCTCAAAAGAGGATATTCAAAAGTAGTGATGCAATTGGAGCATTTTTGGAATAAGACTCTTTCAAGGTAGATCATCATTAAACATGTAATTTTTAAGTGATTTTTTTTAAGAGGAGCATTATTTGAGTGTGGTAGTTTTATTACACCTTATAGCTTTTAGGTAGCAATAGGAGACTCCTAAAATAATCCAAACAAATTGCTGTATGTTAGTATTTTTCCTCAACGTGATGTATAAGAAGGCTTTTTCTCTACATATAATAAAGTTAGTAGCCATAAGTACTGTATGTTAATATCTCCTTTTCTAGTGGAGTTTGCTGTTTGCTAAGAAGTATGACAGGCTCATGGAGAAGAATCAGAAAAATCCTTATTTTAATCTAAGCTTCACAATTTATCTATTAATTTTCTTTGTGACGTTTGGCAAGTTATTTAATCTGACTCCCAGTTTTATTTTCTTCAAATGAAAGTTACTCTGATTATTAAAGGAAATGTAAAATTTAAAGTGCTTAATAATATGATTTGCATTTAGGAAGCATTCGAGTAATTATAGCTATTTTTTTCTAAGTTGTCAATATTAGCTGTTGTGGATAAAGTCCTTGCCATTGATTTTCACAATTTAGTAGGAGAGATATACTATTTACCTAGCTTAATGTGTTAAACAAATTACCATGAGAGCACAGTGGAGGTAAGAACAAATTCTTTAAAGAAGAGATAAGGGAAGGTGTCCTATAAATGATATTTCACGTAGGCTTTGAAGAGTGATTTAAAAAATTACCAAAGAAAAAGAATGTTGGTAAAATAATATTATTCCTATACAATAAATAAGACAGAGTACTGAATTTTCATAAGATATGCTTGAGTTTCGTGTATATTTTGTATAGATTTATTGGTTCTAACTAATTGTCAGTAGAAGGACAGTTAAGTAACTGTATAGCTGGCTTCCTGTCTACAGTCCCCAGGTGATGCTGATTTTAAATCCATGACTCCACTTTTAGTGATATTGTGTTAAACTAATCCTGTCTTTCTAGTACAGGGAAGCATTCCTTACCATATATAAAAGGGTATATAGTGTTGCTCAGTGGTTGTGCATCAACCCATGAACCAGGAGGTCACAGTTGGATTCTAGGTCAGGGCATATGCCTAAATTTCAGCTCAATCCCCAATAGGGGGCATACAGGAGGCATGAACAATGATTCTCTCACCTACCTCGCTCTGAAATCAATAAAAACATATAAAAGGGTATATAAAAGCAATATTTGGTTACAAAGGTTGTTTAGGGTTTTCTGTTCTATGCTTAGTGGAAGCATTATTTTGACTCATGAGTTTTGCTTTAAATTTTTTTTTAAACCCCTGCTAGTAACTGCAAAGAACTCTCTAAATGTTTGATTTTATAAATGCTAAACAGTGGCATTTAGCTTGTGTATTGTTTACTTGCAAGAAGATCATTTAGACTCTACCCCTCCCTCCCCAACATGAGGATGTTAAGATTAGAAAACAATTTAATGATTATTCTTGATAACTGTTTATATCATAGTAAAAAATTAGCAAAAAATTAAAATTGCTTTTAACTCTTCAACAGATAAGAAAATTAATCTGTGCTTTACTTTTTAAAAAACTTGAATATTTACTTTGTGTAATGATAAGGGTACTGATCATATAAGCAAATACATAGGGAAATTTGTATATTAGAAAATAGGTAAAATGGAGTGTAAGATAAAATATAGAATTACCCAGGATGACAAACATTATTTTATTTATACTATGATGTTTTACTCAAAACTAGAAACTTAATTATAGACTTGAAATATAGCTATAAATTAATGTGAATACTATAGAATAAAACTAATAAAATCTGTTTTGTCTCTCCAGCTTTCACAGTAACCGCCCAAGTAAAAGGTTTTGTATTTTTAAGGAGCATTCAAGAAATCTCAGGTAACTAGTTGATTTTTTAAAATTCTTTCTATTGAAAAACTTTATGACTTAAATTTTTTATATAATATCTTCAATGAGATATAATTCATATATCATGCAATTCACACACTTAAATTGTATAATTAATAGTTTTTTTAATATATTCACCAAGTTGTGCAGTCATCGCCACAGTTAATATTAGTACATTTTTATCACTCCAAACAGTAATTCTATTCTCATTAAGGTTATCCCCATTTCCTTCCAATTCCACCAATTCCTAAGTAACCTCTAATCTTCTGTCTGTTTATATAGATTTGCCTATTCTGGACATTTCATATAAATGGAATGGTACATTATGTGATCTTTTATGATTGGCTTCTTCCATTTAGCATATTTTACATGTTCACTTGTATATATCAGTACGTCATTTTTTATTGCTCAGTAGTATTCCATTGTATGGGTATACCATAGTTTGTTTATCCATTAGGTTATTTTAACTTTGAAGCCATTATTATTATAGATGCTGCTATGAACATTTGTGTAAAAGTTTTTGTCTGGGCATGTCTTTTTCATTTCTCTTTAGTATATATCTGGGATTGGAATTGCTGGGTTATATGGTAACTGTTGAGCCTTTGAGGATCTGCCAGACTGCTTTACAAAGTATCTCAACTATCTTATACTAGAGGCCCGGTGCACAAAAATTTGTGCACTGGGGGGCGGGGGGGCTTCAGCCCGGCCTGTGCCCTCTCGCAGTCTGCAACCCCTCTGGGGATGTCCACCTGCTGGCTTTGGCCCGCTCCCCGGGGGAACGGGCCTAAGTGGGCAGTCAGACATCCCTCTGGCAGACCGGGAGCCCTCAAAGGATGTCCACTTGCCAGCGGGGAGCAGGCCTCAGCTGTACTCGGACATCCTTAACTCTGCTAAGGAGGCAGGAGAGGCTCCCACCACCACTGTGTTGGCAGCCATCAGCCTGGCTTGTGGCTGAGCAGAGTTCCCCCTATGGGAGCACACTGACCACCAAGGGGCAGCTCCTGCATTGAGCATCTGCCTCCTGGTGGTCACTGTGTGTGTCATAGTGACCAGTCATTCCCAGTCATTCTGCTGTTAGGGTCAGTTTGCATATTAACCTTTTATTATATAGGATAGAGGCCTGGTGCACAGGTGGCGGCCAGCTGGTTTGCCCTGAAGGGTGTCCCGGATCAGGGTGGGGGTCCCGCTGGGGTGCCTAAGCAAGCCTGGGTGAGGGGGCTAAGGACCGTTTTCAGGCTGGCCAAGCCCCCCAGCGACCCAAGCTCCTAGCCTCTCCTTTTTTTCTTTTTTCTATTTTTTTCTGGGATTTATTTATCTTTTATAATTGAAACTTTGCAGCTTTGAGCGGAGCCCAGATCCTGGCAACCCAGGCTCCCAGCCCCTCCTTGAGCAGAGGCCACTGTTGGCTGGAAGCAGGTATCTGGGATTTATTTATCTTCTGTAATTGGAACTTTGTAGCCTTGAGCGGAGGCAGGGCCTGCCAGGGCAGGCGGGAAGCTTGGCTTCCTCCATCGCCAGGGGCAACCCAAGCCTCCTGCTCGCTCCAGCTCTGTGGCCGCTGCCATCTTAGTTCGGTTAATTTGCATACTCACTCCTGATTGGCTTGTGGGCGTGGCATGAGTGTAACAGGGGGGCGGTTAATTTGCATGTTTCTATTTTATTATATAGGATTCCCACTAGCAGCATATGAGGGTTCAAGTTTCTCCACATCTTTGCCTACATTTGTTGTTATATCTTTTTTATTATAGCTACCTAGTGGGTGTAAGGTGGTAACTCATTGTGCTTTTTTTTTAAAACCTGATGTTGGGATGTCCAATTTGGAAATCTAAATGTCTACTACTGTCCTTAGACTAGAGATATGAATAGCCTATATTCTTTTGCTAAATTTGTTTTAGTAATAACAAGTGGTGTCAAAATGAAGTAAAAAGAGAACAAAAATTTTAAATTGTATTCTTTCCCCTGTGCTTCACTCCATCTCTCCCTACCTCCTTTTTTGCTTAATTTTTCTCTAGAAATCAATTTCATCTTTCATCATCTGATATACCTTGTACTTTACCTTTTTATTTATTTATTAGATATATATTATTGATTTTTTACAGAGAGAAAGGGAGAGGGATAGAGAGTTAGAAACATCAATGAGAGAGAGAAGCATCAATCAGCTGCCTCCTGCGCACTCCCTAGTGGGGTGTGCCCACAACCAAGGTACATGCTCTTGACTGGAATCGAACCTGGGACCCTTGAGTCCGCAGGCCGACGCTCTATCCCAGGGGTGGGCAAACTTTTTGACTCGAGGGCCACAGTGGGTTCTTAAACTGGACCGGAGGGCCGGAACAAAAGCATGGATGGAGTGTTTGTGTGAACTAATATAAATTCAAAGTAAACATCATTACATAAAAGGGTATGGTCTTTTTTATTTTTAGTTTTATTCATTTCAAACGGGCCGGATTCGGCCCGCGGGCCGTAGTTTGCCCATGGCTGCTCTATCCAGTGAGCCAAACCAGCCAGGGCTGTGCTTTACCTTTTTAATTTTCTGTGTCCTATTACTCGAGTCTCTGTGGTTTGGATTTTTGTCTATGACATGCATTGATTAGTATACTCAGTAAATATTTGTTGAATAAATTAAAGTATAGGTTGAAAATGATTTATGTGGACGCTAGCTCCCATCTACGATGTTGGACCAGTAGCTTACAGGGAAATGAAATTTGATTCAGTTTAAAAAGTATTTTAGTGGTAATTTTAAAGCATTAATTGAGTTCAGTGAAATAGATTAAGTTATATTAGATGTTGCCTTTACTAAAAATTTTTATAAGAGTTAAAAGAAAAACTGTGGTACATATACACAATGGAATACTATGCTGCTATAAAAAAGAAGGAATTCTTACCATTTGCAACAGCATGGATGGAACTGGAGAGCATTATGCTAAGTGAAATAAGCCAGTCAGTGAAAGAAAAATACCACATGATCTCACTCATTCATGGATAATAAAGACCATTATAAACTGATGAACAAAAATAGATACAGAGGCAGAGCAGTATCGAACAGACTGTCAAACTACAGTGGGAAGGCCGGGGAGAGTTGGGGGGCGGGAAGGGGGGTGGTAAGAGATCAACCGAAGGACTTCTATGCATGCATATAAGCATAACCAATGCACATAAGACGCTGGGGGGTAGGGGAGGCCATGGGAATGTCAAGGGGGGGGCGAGAGAAGGAGACATATGTAATACTCTTTGTAATATTTTAAGCAATAAAAAAAAGAAAAGTTTTTCATTTAAAAGATGAAATTTTAGTTTTAGTCTTATCTCACTGTTGTCAAGCTTAATTGTGTGTTCTGTTTTTAAGTGAACTATGTTATTTTAAAAATCTGGGATTTTTCCCCTCTACTTCAATAGTTATCAAGTTGAAAATAAGTCAATTCCTATGAATGGAGTATAGCATACTTATAATTGTATAGAACAGTACTTTTTTATAATCCTTTATTATAATGGAATATTCATTCTTTATCTCTTTATTAGAGGCCCGGTGCACAAAAATTTGTGCACTCAGGGGGGAGGGGGGCTCCCTCAGCCCGGCCTGTGCCCTCTAGCAGTCTGGGACCCCTCGGGAGATAACGACCTGCTGGCTTAGGCCTGCTCCCGGGTGGCAGAGGGCAGGCCCAATCCCTAGGTGCAGCCCCTGGTCGGGCTCAGAGCAGGGCCGATTGGGGGGTTGGGGCACCACCCCGCCACACTCAAGGCAGGGTCGGTGGGGAGGTTGCGGCGTGACCCCCTGTCACGCACAGAGCAGGGCCAATCCGGGGGTTGGGGCACTGCCCCCTGTCACACACAGAGCAGGGCCCATCAAGGGGTTGGGGCTCCGTACTCTGTCATGCACAGAGCAGGGCCCATCAAGGGGTTGGGGAGCTCCCCCCTGTCACTCACAGAGTAGGTCCGATAGGGGAGTTGGGGCACCGTCCCGTCACACACAGAGCAGGGCGGATCAGTGGGTTGGGGCGCCGCCCTCTATCACCCACAGAGCAGGGCCGATCAGGGGGTTGGGGCGACGCCACTGTCACACTCAGGGCAGGGCTGATGGGGAGGTTATGGCTCTACCCCGTCACACACAGAGCAGGGCCCGTGGGGGGGGCGGGGTTGGGGCGCCACCCTCCATCACCCACAGAGCAGGGCCGATCAGGGGGTTGGGGCGCCGCCACTGTCACACTCAGGGCAGGGCCGATGGGGAGGTTATGGCTCTACCCCGTCACACACAGAGCAGGGCCTGGGGGGGGGGGGGCGTTGGGGTGCCGCACCCTGTCACACATAGAGCAGGGCCGATCAGGGTGTTTGGGCGCTGCCCCCTGTCATGCTGATCTCGGTGCTGGGAGGCCTCGCGGCTCCGCTGATCCCGGTGCTGGGAGGCATATTACCCTTTTACTATATAGGGTAGAGGCCTGGTGCATGGGTGGGGCCAGCTGGTTTGCCCTGAAGGGTGTCCTGGATCAGGGTGGGGGTCCCTACTGGGGTGCCTGGCCAGCCTGGGTGAGGGGATGATGGCTGTTTGCAGCTGGTCACACACCCTTCAGGGTGGGGGTCCCCACTGGGGTGCCTGGCCAGTCTGGGTGAGGGGCTGAGGGCTGTTTTCAGGCTGGGGGTGACTGAACTCCCAAACGCTCCTTTTTTCCCTTTTTTTTTTTTTTTTTTTTTTTTATTCTGGGCCAGCTTTAGCTTGAGGCTTGGCTCCAGCTCTTAGGCCCTTGCTCCTGAAAGTAGGTTTCTGGCCTTTGCATACAATGCTGCGAATCTGCTGGCTGAAGTCAGGCGGTATTTGTTACAATGTTTCTTAAACTGCCGGCTCAGAGGCCTGCAGTCGCAGGCGGGGAACGTTGGTTTCCTCCGTCACTGAGGCAAGCAAGCCTCATGTTAGTTTCAAGCTGCCTGGCTGCCCGCCGCCATCTTGGCTGACAGTTAATTTGCATATCTCGCTGATTAGCCAATGAAAAGGGTAGCGGTTGTACGCCAATTACCATGTTTCTCTTTTATTAGTGTAGATTATGTATCTATCATGTACATAATATGATGAAGTCTTACAACCAGTCTTCAGGGAATATACAGTTTATTGGATGGGAGATATAGGTGAACATAAATAACTAATAATGCTAGGAAGATTTATTTTTAAATATATTTTATTGATTTTTTACAGAGAGAAAGGGAGAGGGATAGAGAGTTAGAAACATCAATGAGAGAGAAACATCGATCAGCTGCCTCCTACACACCTCCTACTGGGGATGTGCCTGCAACCAAGGTACATGCCCTTGACTGGAATCAAACCTGGGACCTTTCAGTCCGCAGGCCAATCCTTTATCCACTGAGCCAAACCGGTTAGGGCCGCAAGGAAGATTTTAATAAGTGCAGTGAAGACTATTTTTTTCAAAGGGGAGAGGTTATTTTAATAATCTGGATAGGTGTTAATTATACTTTGCTTTAAAGGATGAATATTGTTTATACTGATAGAAGAGACACAGCGGCATTGAAGTTGGAAGAAATAGCATTAATAAAAGTACAAAAATGAAAAAGTAGAAGGCTTATAGACAGAATACCTAGTAGCAAATGAACGGAGCATGAAGTTAATATAGTAAGGTTGAAGTCTGGGGCAATGGTTTTGAGCTTAGAGCCAGTGAAAGCATTGAAAATAAGGCTGAGGAGTTTGGGCTTAATTTGGAGGGCACTCAAGAACCTTAGATGTTTTACATAATATCAAGTAAGACCTTAAGGAACGTTGAATTGAAAATACCCTTCTCACCTTCAACAGTAGGGTGAGTTCTAGATGCATGAATTCTATAGATTAGAACTATTTGATAGTTTTGAATGATTTAGTAAGGACTTGAGTGAAATGTTGAGTGGTATTGCATCTCTTTAAGAATATGGACTCTGGAATCCAAGTGCTCAATTTAAAACCTGATCCTGACCATAACCATCTCTATGTCCTTGGTAGAATACTAAGTTAACTGTCCTCTATAAAAAGATAATTAATAGTTTTTTTGGGTGGGTGTAAGATTTAGATGAGATGCTATGTCTAAATTTGTTAGGCTGGCATAGAATAAGTACTCAATAAATTGTTAATATTATAAAATGCTTGGCATATTGACCATTTTAAGGGAGGAGATATAGAGATAATTATAGTTTGAGCTTTATTGTTAGAGGAAAGGGCATAATGAGACAGTCAGAAGGAGTTGATTTGGGGAGGAAATACATGATTTTAGTTTTATGGACAGTTTTGTTATGCTAGTGTGACATATAGGTGTAAATACACAGTAGACCAAGCATGTCAAACTCGTGGCCCACGGCCACATGTGGCCCACACGAATATTTTTGCAGCCTAGCCAGTATAACGGTATGTAAGAATAAAAGTTTTGTAACTTAATTTTTACAATATCCTGTTATACATAATTATAATAACGAACTACAACGTTCGCTAATGACTGAATACTATAATCACATTGCAATCATTTCCCTTACGCGCAGGCGCACCATTTCTCTCCACTAACACTAGTAGCTATTATTTTAGCAGCCAATGGCCACATCATTAGTCTTGGACTGACTTGTTTGGTGTGCGCAACAGGAAATATTTCACTTTCGGAGAACAAGAAAAATAGGTTTATTTGCGTTACCCTTATTAATTTGTGCAGTTATTCAGTGTCTGGTAAGTTAATGTTTAAGAAAAAATATTAATTTTTATTAAGATGTTCTATTATTTTATGTTAACGATTACTCATTTATTTCAGCCCGTTGTCAGCATGTGTCTCTATTGAAATAAACCTATGTTTCTATGAAATTGAAGCTTTTGTTTTTTTTGCGGCCCACATAAACCTTGTTTATTTGGCCCGTGTTAGCCTTTGAGTTTGACATGCTTGCAGTAGAGCTTCATGGGAGAAGTCAGTCTATGGTATTTTACTTGTTTGTATTTGTATATTGGTAAAATGCTCAAATATTTAAAGTTTGTGGTGAATTTCCAAAGTATATTTTAGATTTTGTAAAATTGACAGTAACAATGATAGCATTACATGATCTTTTTTTTAACCTAAGCAAAAATAATATATTAGCAGGATTCTAAAGAATCTCATAGGCCCCTAAGAGGAGGAAGTACAGCTAGAACAAAAAAGGGAACCAGAAAGCCATCACTTACTGACATGACTTCTCTCTAGTCTAACCCACTGAGGCAGGATGATCTTGTCTTTATTAATTTCTCTAGAGTTGGTTTCCATTCTCCTTTCTTTGTGCAGCCCAGTCCTGTCTATTGATGACCCAATAGTAATCTGAGCCTCCTACATTTTCCCAGATCAAGGAATTTTATTATAAATTTGTAATTACAAATTCTTGTTTAGAGAAGGCTTGATTTAGGCATTCCACCCTGGTCCAATTAACTATATCCTGTAGAATAGGCATTTAGCTACTTTTTACCATTGAGACCACTTTTAGTGTCTGCGAGGGCAGTTTGTTAATAGAAAAGAACACACATCAACATATCTACATATATAAAAGGCTAATATGCTAAGTGTCCCTCCCACCATCTGACTAGTTGCTATGATGTGCACTGACCACGAGGGGGCAGACACTTAACATGAGCTGCTGAGCTGCAGTGATTTGGCAGTGGCGGTTCTTGGGTGATGCACCCCAAAACCAGAGAAGAGGGAGCCTGATTCCTCCCAGGGCTGCGCAATTCCACCTTCAGCCGTGGGTTACGTTGGTTCTGCGGCACTGTCGGCCCCAAATCTGGTTTACTGCCCACTTTTGTTTGAGTTCCACACCCTATACAACAGCAACTTTGCAGAGTGCTCTCTCACACTCCAGGACCCCTCGGGATGTCAGAGAGCCGGGTTAGGCGCAATCCCTACAGGCCAGGCCAAGGGACCCCACCTGCTGGAAGGACCCTGCTCACTCCAAAGATGCCAGGGAGGGACTGAGGGATGTTGGTTCCAGGGTGTGTCTCGCCTGTCTTGCCCAGTCCCACCCCACCAGCCACCTTCTAATTAATTTCCTTTCAATATGCACAAATCTGTTCGCCAGGCCACTAGTGTGTGTCTGTGTGTATATGTGTATATATATATATATTTAGTCACTAAAGTTATTTAAATCTTAACTTCCCTTAAGCTTTTAAGTTTAACGTAAAAATATTGCATTTAGAAATCAAGTACATTTTAATAATCACTTTCTAGAGGGCCTTTAATGTTTGGTAAGATTCATTTAAGTTGAACAGACTAAGTTTTTTAAACAGTCCCATTTGCAACTCCAGTTCTTTTAATCAACTTAACATCATTTATACATTTAATATATTTTCTTTTCTTTTAAACAGCACTTTAAATGCTTGATTAAACAAGCTCCCAAGTTCTTAACTCTTAAAATATAATAAATTAAACATATAGTGAACTTTTAAGTTTTCTGAAACCTTCACATACTTTTGCAGGCTTAATAATATTTAAAAATACCTTTCAACTAAAAATCAAAAGTTTAAACACATTTTTAGGAGAATCTTAAGGCCACTATGACACACTGTAATATACCAACTATGTTTAAATATTTAAATACTACATAGTTTATTCTAATGAGTCTAAAAACTGTTCCTTAATGCAACAGAAAGTATTGATGACCATGGAAATTGTTTCCTAGGCTTTTTGAAAATTTATAATCATTACATATTTCATTTAAGAACTACAGCACTTGGTGTTTGGTAAGGAAACGAGTAGTTCAGGCCCCAGCAAGTGGGCCAGTTCACAGTGCAAGGATGATTGGGAACTCAGGCTTTAAACTTCAGTCGTGAAATAACTAATTCACTTTAATTAACGAATTCAATGTTAAGTGAGAATAATATATGTTGTGATTAAGAATAAAAATAATATATAGAAAAACCTTTAACACATAGTATGCAATCAGTGACAGCTACTACATGATGTATATATTTAAAACCTTAACATTTCTCTTCTAATTTTTTTCTCACCTAAATAAAACACTAGATTATAGATTTGTTAGGGCACAGACTGTATTTTTTTTCACTTATACTCACAATACAGTACAGTAGTAGTACAGTATGTGTAAAGACAGCCTTAGTAAATATAGTTTGAATGAATGATTACTATACCCTTGCATTGCAGATGATGGAGGTACAGGTGGATTGTGACTTGTTGCAGTGACACAAGTTGTTGGTGGAACCAATACTGGGCTTTAGGTCTCTTAACTCCTAGCTTTTAGCAACTGGTCTGAGAAGTAAAAGTTTATAAAAAGAATACTTTCTGTAAATAAATGATAGCATGATTTGGATATGGCTATGCCATTTTTCTAGAGAATTATTTTTGTTATACCAAGTTTATATAACAAAAATAAGATCAACAGTTTGACACAACAAGGCAATTATGAAAAAACTAGTGGCTCGGTGCACAAAATTCTGCACATTAAAAGGGAATTAATTAGAGGAAATATTTTAATATTGCCATTTGCCCTTTCTCTATAAAAGAAGTGTTAGAGATGAAAGAAAATTAGTAAAATGTATATGAAAATCTCCCTCCTGTCAGAGTCTGGGGCACACTGAGGGACCTAGAGTGAAGTCCCCGCCCACCACCCACACGCGCTTCGAAAACACAGGAGACCCAGATCTGGCCGACCCCACCCCCATTGGGTGAGACCCAGACCCAGCCGGCCCCACCTCCGTCAAGCCCCTCTGGCGGGGACACAGCCTCAGGTCCCTGGGCCCAGCACTGGGTTAGGGGGAGCGGCCTGAGGTCTCCCAGCCCATCGCCTGGGCAGGGGTGAGACCTGAGGTCTCCGGTCCAGTGCCTGGGGGGAGGTACGGCCTGAGTTCTCCTGGCCCAGCACCTGGGCGGAAACACAGCCTGAGGTCTCCTGGTCCAGCGCCTGGGCGGGGATGCGGCCTGAGGTCTCCTGGCCCAGCACCTGAGTGGGGGGCGGCCTAAGGTCTCCCAGCCCAGCGCTTGGGCGGGGGGCGTGGCCTGAGGTCCCTCGCCCCGGACAGGCGCCATGCAGGTCCCTGCTGTTTGGTTGTGATGTTACAGCGTCCCAGCTAATTTGCATATTTCTCTATTATTAGTTTAAATCAGGGGCCCTCAAACTTTTTAAATGGGGCCAGTTCACTGTCCCTCAGACCGTTGGAGGGCCGGACTATAGTTTAAAAAGAAACTATGAACAAATGCCTATGCACACTGCACATATCTTATTTTGAAGTAAAAAAACAAAACGGGAACAAATACAATATTTGTATTTGCATGTGGTCTGCGGGCCGTAGTTTGAGGACCCCTGGTTTAGATAATCACTGAACTTATTTATGGATTTTCATAAAAGATAAAACAACTTTTATACTGTTTGCTTTTTTTTTTTTTTTTTTTTTTTTTAGGGGCATTACTCTGGTGTGCCTTGATTGTGATTTCCTAGCTGATGTTTCTGGCTTTGATAATATGGCTGCACACTTGAGTCAGCAGGAAACTCATACTTGTCAAGTTGTAGTAGAGAAAGGTAAGTATATATACAATTGTGTTACTTTGGATTTTCGATATTTTTTTTACTATTTTTGGTCAGCCACAATATAGATTCTTAATAAAATCATTGCTCTCGCTCATCATATTTCATCAGTTTTAAATAGAAAACTTTTTTTCTAATTTCAGTTTCTGCTCGGATTCCAACTTCTGAACATCTTTCTGAGTAAGTTTAATTTTTATTCATTGTATTTTGCTTTGATGGATTTTAGCACTATTGCATTTTTAAATGTGTCATTAATAGAAATGAAAAATATTAAAGTATTTTGTGTTTTTTTTGTTCTTTTTAAAGCTGCTTGTTGAAATAGGTTCCTGCTCTATGGAGCTCGTGACCTGGTGCGAGACAAGTTGGAATTTCCTAAGTTCAAAGTTCTGAGATGTTTTCTTACACAAAGGCAGTTAAGCAGCCAAGTTCATGACACTAGTTCTCATTATTCAGCTTTTTTCAGCTTCAAATGAGACTAGGTTCTTTATTCCACCTTATTTTTGTGTCAGGTTGACATATCTTAACATATGTTGTTTTCTCCAGTTGGCTCTTTCCAAAATAACTTTTGTTGCTATAGTCATTTCTTACTTTGCTTAAAATAATTTGTGTTTTTCTCTGTTGTACTTGCCTTCAGAATAATACATTTCAAATGATATGGCTGTTTGTCTTTTTGTCTATTTTGTCTGCTTTCTTAATTTCTTATAGACCTTAAGTGTTTAGGCCCGATGATTGTCTTTTTCCTCTTTCGTTGTCTGTCATTGTGCTATTTTTCTTATTTTTCAGATGCAGAAGCAGCCCAGAGATTTCAAAAAATGTCCAGGGTACACCTGGACAGTGTCCCCCTTCGATGGACACAACTGGTGCCTATTCTCTCTTTCCAAGGAATGTGAATAATTTTACAGTGGGACCTGCTCTAGGTTGTGGTCTCAAGAAATCAGGTCTTGGGGAGACTTCCTTACTTCAAGACTGGCCTCCCATAAGGTTGATGCTAATTTACCCAGAGATGGCCTCACAGCCCACCAAATTGAGCACAAATTTCCACTGGGTTCTTTGGCTCTTGATCTTAAGCTGGTGGGTCACTTCTGGCCAAGAAAAGCCCACCAAATCAATACTTCAGTCCAAGTTGAAGTTTAGTCATTTTGACTGCTGCCCTTTAATCTTCCTCTTGCATGAATGCAGTCCAAGGAGTATAAAAGCTTTTGTTGTTAGGAAGCCATAGTTATTTTCATGTCCTTGGAACAACAGGTCTCTACAATTATGTTCCAAAATTACAGTTATTTTTATTGTCATTTAAAATATATTACCCAGTTCTAGCTCTATAGTTTTCAACAATACTAATTCTCAGCCTTTTTATTTTGAATAAGTTAATTTTAATAGTTTGTTTTATGTTTTCCAAATTTACTGATATTATGTTTATTTTTATACTCTACTGTTCTTTAAAACTGTTTAGTGTTTGCTCTGTTTTGCCAAAACTTCCAAGAGATTCCCTATAATTCTCTACAGATTCTTTATGGCTGCCTTACTTAGAGCTTTTTAATTTGGCTGTTATATATACCCTTAGATGTTATTATATCCTCTCTTATTTTGGGATTATTATTAATATTATCTTAATAAGTATGGGTTCTAAGCTGTAAAGAATTAACAAAACCTTTTGTAGATAGTAAAACAAGTTTTAAAGTTATATATTTGTCTGGCTAACACATAGTATCTAATTAACCATTAATGAAGTTTTTTGGGGTAAAAGTAACATTAAAAAATATAGGGGTGCCCCAGCCAGTTAGCTCAGTTAGTTGGAGTGTCTTCCTGTACACCAAAAAAGGCTGTGGGTTTGACTCTCAGTCAGAGCACATACCTAGGTTGTGGGTTCGATCCCCAGTTTTTTTGTGAGACAAGTCAATGTTTCCCTTTCACATAGGTATCTCCACCCCTTCCCCCGCCCCCCATCACGCTCTCTCCCCACTCCCTCTCTTTTTCCCTCCTTCTCTTCCTTTCTCTCTAAAATCAATAAACATATCCTCAGGTAAGGATGTAAAAAAATAGAAAAAATATATGGGGGATAACAATGCACTTGTTTTTTTCATGTATATATTTTTTCACATATACATGTATATTAAAAAATTGACATTTGTTTATTTTAAAGACAAGCAAGTCACCTTTTGTGATCTTAGTTGCCAAAGGATAGGCAGACTCTAAAAGTATGACTCAGTTGTGGTTTTTTACTCTAAAATGAGAACTATTTTACTTTGAAACAGATTAAAGCTAGTTTCAATGATTATTTACAGTGTAATGTGTTCCTTGCAATTAATAATCAAAAAATTTAATCCATTAGTTTTAAACTTCCAAATTAATTTCTATATTAATGATTGTCCAAAAGCTCTGAAAGTGGTTTATAGATGGACTTGGTGATATACTAGTTTTTATTTCCTTATCTGTCTCTAGGAAAGTTTTATCATTCACCTTTCTATGTAATTAAAAATAACACTTCATAATTTTGCCCAGAAACAACATCTTTCCATTGTTAACATAAATTCCTTTTTCATTTACAGATATTTGTTCTGCATTGGTTATAGTTTAAAAATAGGATAAAATACATTCTTGATATAACAGTAAAGGAGCACTGCTTTTTGTTCTTCCATTGGACTTTATTTTCTTGTTTAAACTCTTCAAGTTCTGTCATCTATAAATTTTTTAAAAAGAGGTTTAAATAAAACACTTAAGGTGCTAAGTACCAAATTTGCTTATCTTAGACAGTTGAATTTAATTTGGTGCTAACTAGTTTTAGCTTGAGTCTGATCAAGTTATTCTAAATAGTTTATTCACCTGATCAGAAATTACCATTCCATGCATGTGTGCTTTTGATTACCACTGAATAAAAATTGAGATTGGGACATTTTGAATCTATCAGCACTCTTAGAAAAAGTGGCTCCTAAACTACAGAGATATGGATTCTTGCCCTATTTTGTCACATTTTGGTAAACACCTCATCTCTTTTGGACCTCATTTACTTATTCCGTGAATATTTCTTGAGCATCTACTTTATGCCTGGCCCTGTTATAGGTGCTAAAGAAATGGACTGAAATCTCTGCCTCGTGAAGCTTATGATTTAATGGTGAAAGATAATAAAAATTAAAAGATATACTATATTAAATGGTGGTCAATACTATGGAGAAAACTGAAATTAGGGAAGGGGGGATAAGGAGTAAGTGGCAGTTTGTAGACTGCCATTTAAAATTCGATGGTCAGGGAAGGCCTCACTGAGAGACGATATTTAGGTAGAGACCTGGAAGAACTGCAAAGAGCCTGTTTTGGCTGCCGTTGATTGAACAAGAGGGAGGCTAGTAGGAGATGGGGCCTGCAAAATAGTGTGGGCCATGTTGTATAGGACCTTACCAACCATTGTAAGGCATTTGATTTTAACTCTGAGATAAGCCATCAGAGGATTTTGAGTAGAGCAGTGTTTTATACCTCAGTAAAACTCAAAATCAACAATAAAACCTTAAATACTGAAGAGTGCTATATTACTTTAGCTGCTGTCTTGAGAATTAACTATAGAAGACCAACAGCAGAATCAGAGAGATTAGTTAGGGGGCTGTTGTAATAATCTAGGAAGGAGATGGTGGGATCCTAAGCTAAGCTGCCTGCAATGTAGGCCATCCGCGGTTTGATTTTGGATATATTTTGAATTTGTTGATTTGGATGTGAAGTATGAGAGAAAGTGTTGAGAATTATTCCACACTTCCTGGTCTGAGCAACTGGAAAGATGGCATTGATATTATATAAAGTAGAAAAGGCTTGGAGAAATAGACTCAGGAGGGAAGTTCCATGAGGATTGATCTGCTACATGTTTTAGTTTGAGATAACTATAGAAATCAAGTGGAAATGCCATTAACCTGTATAAGTTTAGAGTGTTCTAGGTGGTAATTATCATTTAGCATTTTAAAGTGTCATGGGAATGAATACAAGGAGAACTGAAATATGAGTAAGATCAGTGTATTGAATCACTGTCAATATCCTGGTTATGATATTGTACTATAATTTTGTAGGATGTCATCATTGAGGAAAAGTGCACAAAGGGTACATGGAATCTCTGTATTATTATTATAACTGCATATGCATATACAATTGTCCCAAAATAAAATAAATTCAATTTAAAAGGCCATGGGACTATATGAGGTCACCAAGGGATACAGTAGAGATAGAGAGAGGGCAAGGTCCACAGACTGAGCCAGGGGCCATCATATCCGAAACAACTGAATAGATGACCGAACAGGCTGAGTGGGGTGATAAGGTCAGGGGGGGTTAGTGAGGGACAACCAAACGACTGAACAGCAGGCTGTGTGGGGTGACCAGGACAGCAGAGGTGCAGTTTGGGGTGACATGCTGGTGGGGGCGGGCAGTTGGGGGTGACAAGGCTGGCAGGGGTGCCAGTTAGGGGCGATCAGTCAGGCAGGTGAGCAGTGAGGAGCTAGCGGTCCAGGATTGTGAGAGGGATGTCTGACTGCCGGTTTAGGCCCTATCCTAGGGTGCAGGCGGGGCTGCGGGACCCCCCCCCCCCCCCGCAATCCCCATGCACGAATTTCGTGCACTGGGCCTCTAGTTGTATATAGTAAAAGCCTAGGTGGCATCGCACGGCATTACAAGATGGCCACCCTCACATTGTCACAGATGGCCACCACAAGTTGGTCACCACACGATGGCAGGCAGGGAAGAGCAGTTGGGGGTGAATGGGCCAGCCTGGGAGGGCAGTTGGGGGGCGATCAGGCTGGCAGGGGAGGGCATTTGGGGGCGAGATCAGGCCTACAGGGGAGGGCAGTTGGGAACAAGATCAGGCCAGCAGGGCAGGGCAGTTGGGCAAAATCCAGCTGGCAGGGGAGAGCAATTGGGGGCAATTCGGCCTTCAGGGGAGCAGTTAGGCGTCAATCAGGCCGGCAGGGGAGTGGTTAGGGGGCGATCAGGCTGGCAGGCAGAAGCGGTTAGGGGCAATCAGGCAGACAGGCAGGCCAGCGGTTAGGAGCCAGCAGTCCCAGATTGTGAGAGGTATGTCCCAGATTGGAGAGGGTACAGGCTGGGTTGAGGGACACCTCTCCGTGCACGAATTTCATGCACCGGGCCTCTAGTACTCTTAACAAAAAAGTAATTCTCTTACATTTCTATAAAAGAAGGTAACTAGGTCAGTATTTTCCAAACTCTGTTTTTTAGAACTAATTTCAATAATTTATAAATTGTTTTGAGGATAATGTTTCCATGGTCAAATAAGTTTAGGAAATACAAATTAAAGTTTCAGAGATTCTTTAATATGGGATTTTTTGGGTCTGTGAATACCGCAGAGAATATTTATTTGACCTTGGTCATGCTCTGGATGATGATTTTGGGGTTATTTGTATAGAAGTTATGATTTGAATTGTTCCTAAGGATGCGGTATACAAGACTGAACAGGTCTGAATGGTAAATATTTCCATATGAATGTTCTACAGGCACCACAAATGCAGTATGTCCAAAATGGAATTCATTTTTTTCTGCAGCATATGCTTTTCTCTCCTTGAATTGTCTTTTTTGATTATTGGCATTTCCATTCTCTTGTGACTCAAGGCAGACATTTGGGGGCTCATATTTGCGCTTCTCATTTACATTTATCGAGTTGGTACTTATATTCTGTTGATTTTATCTTGTTTTTATCATCTGCTAAACTTTGTCTTCCGCTTTACTTAAGACAGTCATTAACTGTTCCTTATATGGACGCCTGACTAGAGCCTACTCTCTTTTAATATGTCCTTCTCTTTCTGTTGCACAAATCTGATCATATTTTCCTATTAACCTTATAATAAAGTTCTTAGCAAAAACACTTTAGCATGGTAATCAAGACTTTTTCTGAAATGGCCCTTCCTATCTCTGCATCTTCAAGTTATTCTTCCTTGTTCCCTACAACCAATCATATGGGATCACTCAGGGTATCATATAATTGCCATCTTGTTTTTTATTTCTTTGCCTTTACTCTGCTTGAATCCCTTTCCCTGTTTTGCTTTTTTATTTTTATTTAATCCTCACCCAAGGACATATTGATTGTTAGAGAGAGGTGGAGGAGAGAGGGGGCGGAAAACAAATCAGTGGATTGCCTCCCATATTGCACCCCAACCAAGATTGAACCCGCAGTCTAGGTATATGCCCTGACCAGGAATTGAAACCATGACTTTTCAGTGTTCAGGACAATGCTCCAACAAACCTAGCCACACCATCCAGAGGTTTGCTCTTGCTGCAAACCAAATTCACTGTGGTGTATTCACTCTGTCCTTGCCTCTTTCACCTTCATAGTAACGTAGTACTTTCTTTATACAGCCACTGAGTCCTATAGATGTTTCTTTTCTAGCACTTTACAATTCTGTAAACATTTGCTTCAATATGTTTCCTTAACAGTGAATTTCTTGAAAGGAGGGACTGTGTATTAACTTTGGACTGGAACTCTTAGCACAGTTACCTGATGTATGTGCAGTCTGGTAAATGTTTAGCTCAGTTACCCTTTCCATATATAATATCTGTTAACGCCTCTTAGAACAAATGATCAGAAATGGTGCATTAGATTTTTACTATTATTTATTAGTATGATGATTAGTATCTTAAATTTAATCCTGAATGTTTACTAGTAAGTGTAGGGTATTGAGAATTGGTTGTCTTTACTACTGGCTAGTTGTACAACCTCTTTCCAGCTCTTTTATAGTATGCTTACAAATATTCTTAAATTGAAGATTAAATTTTGAAAATCAGCATTGAAATTTTTGGCTTTTAAATGTTATTGGAAAGAAAGAGTGTGGCCTGGCTGAAATGAATCAACATTCTCTCCCTTATAGCTCCTTTCCCCACCCAATGGTATGTGTATAGTGTGAATGAAATTTCAAAAGAACATACTGATGTAATTAACCCAAAATATTCATTTTACATGTAACTTTGGATCATCTGACCTGCAGAATAATGAAAGTAGGGACATTTATTTCATTTTCAACTTCAGAGGGAAGAGATTGTCTTTGAGAAATATGTCAGAAAGATTTATTTCAGCAGGTTTATATACAGAAGAAAAATTACTTATTTGTAATCATGATCTCTAGTTCTTTGTTGTTGAAATTGATCACCAGTCAGTCTTGTTTTCTTTACATTGAAGTCTTAAATAGTGTTTGTTTGAAATGCTATACAACATTTTTCTATAAAAAATTATGACAACATTCACAGGTAAAAAGTGTAATTATGTAATGGCAGGTCCTTAGCTCAGAACTTTGAGCTTAGCAAATTTTCACTATCTTCTACCAAGCAATTCAATATCTCAAATGATGACTATTTCAGCAAGTATCTTTAATGAATAAAAATTACAGGTAAAAACTTTTTTCTTTTCAAAAAATGTTAATGATGTATTCATAGTGCATTGTAATTTGTTAATCTTAAGTATGCTTTCATAGTTACAAAAATGTAGTATACATTTTAGTGATGAATGTGGTAATTCAATGAAATTTTAGTATACTTTTCTAATTTTTTTTTAGATTTGTTTTTCTAAATGTTTTTACTGGTTATTATAATTCTATTTCTTAAACAGAATACAAATATGATTAAAACCCAAACAAAATTGGCATCCCAATTTTGATAACCTCTTAAGGCTAGTTATTTTAAGAATTTATTTTGTTCTTATTTATCAGTTTCTTAGCCAGTAAAATGTAGAGTAATAAAAAAACTCTGTTACCAACCTCCATTGCGGAGATTACAAGGACTCAATGTCGCCAGTTGAAATGCAATAATAGTAACATGCTTAATTAGTAGCTTTCATTTTAATTGCTGCATAACATCAATTTATTAGAATAGCTATATGTGTAAATGGTTATCATGATAATGTTTCTTAAGAATTAAAGTCTTTGCTGAAAAGGAAAGGCTTTTATAAAATACTCTTAAATTGCTTTGTGACCAATTTGTTTCAGTTTTTCAAACTAAGTTTAAGATTATTAAGTTTAAGATTATTAGAAATAAAAATCAATTGTAATTTACAAATTTATTTCAAAATTTCATTAACCCAATACCTACTTTTTGTTTCATCAGACTAATTTTTATGTTTTCTTACTGCTTTATACATGTTAATCTTAAAACTATTATTCCATATATAAAATCATTAAAGCAGTGAAGTTGTACTGTACACTTGATGTTATTTCATTTTTATAAATATTATTGTTTACAATTAAATACTTGAGAGAATTACAAATCTTTAACCCAAAAATGATTGACATTTGTGCATTTTGCTCACTTTTTGTGCAAATTTTCTTCATTTACATTTGTTTAGTAACTTAGTTCTAATTATTTTAATATACTACCAATATAGTTCTTATGCACACAAGGACATGCTCTATTTTAAATTGTTTGCAATTTCACCTAATAACTAAAACATAGGTAAGTAATTGTACATAGTTAAATTATTAAAATATAGTAAGGCACTAGCATTGTATAGACATAATTTTTAGAATTTTTCCTAAGAGAATGGGTAAAGAAAAGGTTTTTTTTGCAAATTCCATATTTCAAATACTAACTATGAGAGTAGCTTTTAGCATGGTTGACGCTCTATTCTACTAGATGTCTTCATTTGTGTTCATGAAATTTAAGTTAGCATAGTTGTTGCTAATGTTAAATACATTAATACTTAAGTATAGCTATTAAACTTTCATAAAGTTATGAAATACTCAACTCTATTAATGGCATTTCAGATCCGGTCGGCCTCCTAATTATACAGATTTTAATATATCAGCAAATGATATTTAGTCATCAATACTTTCTGAAATAAAAATATTTTGGAAAAGTTAGTTTTTATATTAATTATTTTAAAAATTTTGCCGAAACCGGTTTGGCTCAGTGGATAGAGCGTCGGCCTGCGGACTGAAAGGTCCCAGGTTCGATTCTGGTCAAGGGCATGTACCTTGGTTGCAGGCACATCCCCAGTAGGAGTGTGCAGGAGGCAGCTGATCGATGTTTCGCTCTCATCGATGTTTCTAACTCTCTATCCCTCTCCCTTCCTCTCTGTAAAAAATCAATAAAATATATAGAAAAAAATAAAATAAAAGTTTCATAGGTAGTATATGCCTTTGTTAATATAATAAGTTACAATTGGTATAGTTTTAGAAATCAAGAAGTTTAAAAAAATTATAGTTAATAATTTGAACTATGCTTATAAAGGTTTTTAAGAGAATACAGCCTCCAAAATTCTAAATTTCTGTGATTTTTATCACCTCTAAGTAAGTTAATTATAATAGATATTGAAATTGCATTATCATATTGAATTTTACCATAGATGAAATATATTATCTCACTTTTTAAGTCCTAAAATACTAGTCAATATTAATGCATATCACATATATTAATCATATAGCCTACTTTTATTTTTTAAAGAGTAAATTTTTTTGAAACTGTTTTATTAATGTGTTATGCCATTTATTTAAAATTGTACTGTTTTATCTGTTTCCATTGTAATTATAAAAAATTTAATACTTATTTTGTTTTCAAGATTAAAAAATGAAGCTCCCACTAAGGAACAAAAACCTGTGTCTGAGGTAAATTTTGTCTTATTTTATATCTTAAAGATTTATACATTAGAAAGTATTGTTGGTGTGGTTTTTTAGAAAAAAAGTTTTAATTCAATGTGCTTACATTGATAACAATTGTTGGCATGTTAACAGAAAAAAATTGAAATTATTAAAAATTATTTCATTAGATATAAAAAATATTTAATCCTAAGTAAAACTGTAAGGTGGTTTTGTTTTGACAAAGACATATATTTCATTTGCCTGTTCAATTCAACTAGTGAATAATGAAAATAAATTTATGATTTTAAAATTCTGAAATCCATAAAACCTCAAACATTTGGTACATTGGAAAATTGATCTTTCCAGATGATATAACTTTAGCAGGAATTTAGACTGTCAAAGATTTAACTAATTTTTTAAGTGAAAATATTCTGGATATATGGTAACTGTTTTAGCTATTTTAAACAGGCACTGGGCATATAACACTCAGGGTTATCATATAAAATGTTATTTACTGGGCAGTCTAATAAATGAGAAATTTCTAATTTCTAAAGTTAGAAATAATTTTGCTCAAGTGCTTGCTTTCTTGATGTTAATTTTTTAAAACATTACATAATATTATTGGTATGTGTTTTTTCTGAGTATAATGAAGTGAGACAGGTTTAGCATTTATCTTTTGCATAGCATTATGTCTTATACAGAGTAGGTAAGACCAAGGCAGAATTAGCAGCCTTCTTCCAAGCGGCTTTTATACCACAGAAAGTTTTCTTTTGTATGAAAGGTTTTTAACTACAAATAAATTACTTTAATAGATGTAGGATATTTGGTTATCTGTTTATTCTTGAGTAGTTTTGGTAGTCTGTGGTTTTTAAGGAATTGGAACATTTAATTTGAGATGTTGAATTTATGTGAATAGAGTTGTTTGTAGTATTCCCTTATTCTTTTAAATGTCTGTGGGTTCTATAGTGATTAATCCTCTCTTTCATTCCTGATATTGGTAGTTTCTGTGTTTTTCCCCCTATTGTTTTCATGTACTATATATAACTTTTAAAGACAAAATACAATGTTATTGTTTTTGCTTTAGTCAGTTATTTTGTAGAGCAATTTAAACTTTAAAAAATAATATTGTGTTTACCTTCATGTCCATTATTTCCAGTAATCCTCATATCTTTATGGAGCTCTTCTTTTCTGTCTAGTATCGTATTCCTTTGACCTAAAGAACTTCCTTTGCTATATATTTCATTACATATCTACTGATAGGTAATTATTGTTATTCTGTTTCCACTTTTTTAAAAGATTTTTTTGTGAGTATAGAGGGTTGACAGTTTTCACTCAGCAGTTTAAAGAAGGTATTGTATTGTCTCTTGGCTTGCATATGTTCTGATGAGATGTCTTACTGTAATTTTTATCTTTTGTTTCTATGTATGTATGTAATATGTCATTTTTCTTTGGCCCTTAAGATTTTATCTTTATCTTTAGTCTTCATTATTTTGAACATGATTTGACTAAGTTTGGTTTGTTCATTTATTTATATGTTTATCTATTTTTGTATTTATTTTTTGCATTTATTCTGACTGGTGTTTTCTAAGCTGTTTTGTATCTTCAATTCCTGGGGTTCCAGTTTCACATGTGTTATACATTTGATGTTAGTCCCGGTTCTTAAATGCCTGTTCTGGTTTCTACACTCCATCCCCCACTACAGATATTGCTATGACATATGTCTGCTATTCTGCTGCCTATGAAGTCTTCTAAGATTTTTATGGTTTCCCATCTTATGTTTAAGTCCATTTTGAGTTTATTCTTGTGTATGGTGTAAGTTGGTGTTCTACTTTCATTTTTTTGCATGTATCTGTTCAATTTTCCCCAACACCATTTATTGAAGAGACTATCTTGACTCCATTGTATGCTCTTCCTTTGTCAAACATTAATTGAGCATAATGGCTTGGGTTGATTTCTGGGTTCTCTGATCTGTTACATGGTCTATATATCTGTTCTTGTGCCAGTACCAGGCAGTTTTGAGAACAGTAGCTTTGTAATGTAGCTTGATATCTGGTATTGTGATCCCTCCAACTTTGTTCTTCTTTCTCAAGATTGCTGTGGCTATTTTGGGTCCTTTTTTTTTAATTCCAGATGAATTGTTGGAGAGTTTGTTCTGGGTCTGTGAAATGTGTCGTTGGTATTTTAATGGAGAGTACATTGAATCTATAGATTGCTTTGGGTAGTATGGACATTTTAATGATGTTGATTCTACCAGTCCATGAACACAGTATATTCTTCCATTTGTTTATGTTTCCCTCTGTCTCCTTTTTCAATATCCTGTAGTTTTCCAAGTACAGGTCTTTTATCTCTTTAGTTAAGTTTATTCCTAGGCATCTTAATTTTTTTGGTGTAATGGTGAATGGGATTGTTTTTTTTAATTTCTATTTCTGTGAGTTCATTATTGCTGTATAAAAAAAAAGCCATAGCTTTCTGGGTGTTAATTTTGTATTCTGCTACATTGTCGAATTCATTTATTAGGTCTATAATAATAAAAGTGTAATATGCTAAATAGACCAGACATCCTTCCAGACAACCTTCTGGACAAAGCCAGGGCTGCAAGGGAAGCCCGGATCCTGGGTGCCTGCCAGCAGCGGGAGGGAAGCCCGGGTCCTGGGTGCAGTCTTTGAGGTTTTCTATGTACAGTATCATGTCATCTGCAAATAAGGGTAGTTTTACTTCTTCTTTTCCAATTTGGATGCCTTTTCTTTCTTCTTCTTGTCTGATCACTATGGCTAGCACTTCCAGTACTATATCAAACAGAAGTGGTGAAAGTGGGCATCCTTGTCTTGTTCCTGTTCTTAGGGGAAATGGTTTTGGTTTTTGCCCATTGAGTATGATGTTGGCTGTGGGTTTGTCATATATGGCTTTTATTGTGTTGAGGTATGATCCTTCTATTCCCACCTTGCTGAGAGAATTTATCAAGAAAGGGCTTTGGATTTTGTCAAATGCTTTTTCTGCATCGATTGATATGATTATGTGATTTTTGTCTTTCAGTTTGTTTATGTGATTTATCACATTTATTGATTTGTGGGTTTTATACCATCCTTGCATCTCCGGAATAAGTCCCACTTGGTTATGGTATATGATCTTTTTAATGTAATGCTGGGTCTGATTTGTTAGAATTTTGTTGAGGATTTTGGCATCTATGTTCAAGGATATTGACCTGTAATTCTCTTTCTTTGTAGTGTCCTTATCTGGTTTTGAGATTAGGGTAATGCCTGCTTCATAGAAAGAGTTTGGAAGTGTTCCTTCCTCTTGAATTGTTTGGAATAATCTGAAGAGGATAGATTTTAGTTCTTTGAATGTTGGTAAAACTCCCCTTAAGTTAACATAAATACCATACATTTTCTGAAAAATAACTGTTTCCCAAAATAAACTTAAAAGAATGACATTGTTTTCCACTTTTGCATAACTCTTTAATGTCTAGTTTAGAAGAAAACTGAATTCTTATGTTTCTGCATTCAGCCTGTTGTGATATGTTGTTTTGGTTGAAATTTACAAAGACTATCCAGCCTTATCCAGTACTTTAAAAATCTTTTAAAATAATTCTGATTATTCTCCTTTAATATTACATAAAAATAGACAAGTGGGCCCTAGCCGGTTTGGCTCAGTGGATAGAGCGTCAGCCTGTGGACTGAAAGGTCCCAGGTTCAAATCTGATCAAGGGCACGTGCCTGGGTTGCAGACTCGATCCCCAGTAGGGGGCATGCAGGAGGCAGCCCACCAGTGATTTTCTCTCATCATTGAGGTTTCTCTCTCTCTCCCCCTCTCCCTTTCTCTCTGAAAGCAATAAAAAAATATATATTTTAAAATAGACAAATAGAAGTTTTCTTAAATATGTATTGCAATATGGAATTGACTCCATTTAACTAAATTTTTTGTACTTTGTTACATTAAAATCTGTTATTCTGTCTTACACTTTGATTGAATATTTTATCCATGGATGATTTTATGTCAGGCATTGCTCATTTGTATAATATTGGTTCACTGAGTTACTTAAATCTTCCAAATGTTGACATGTTTTATTATATAATATCAATTATTACGTTCATTAAGATTATCATAAATCTTAGCAGTGGTGGATACAAATTTTCCTAAAATTTAATTTTTACTTGAATTTTATTATTGACAACAAATAATGTCAGCTGTTTTCTTTAATATGACAGGCTCACTTTGTCAATTTTCAAGAAAATGTCTACTAAACAGCCAAGGTTAAGTGTCCATACTTTAAAAAAAAAAAAAAAAAGTCCATACTTTGCCATTCATTCTTTAAAATAAAAACTATGTTAAATGGAAAAAATGTGGCTAGGTTTTGCTCACAGCTTAGTCACAGACTGAAGTATTTTCAATATGCAGTACTTTATGCATACATTCTATTTTATCACACAATATTAAAAAGACATAAACTAAAGGATTGAAATACAATAAAATTATATGACATATAATAAAATTTACTGCTGGTGTGTGCTGGTAAAGAATACAGTGATTACCAGTATAATTTTGATTTAGTGCCATTCCTTTGACTTGTGTTAAGCTACCAGCATTTTTACCCACCACTGCTTTTGTTTGAACCACTTGTGCCTTGGGTGTTTTGGAGGCCCTAGGTGTCTGTGAGCCACACTCAAGAATTGCTTCCATGGATTTGTGTATATAAAGGTCACCTCCTGGATTGCTGTACAATCTGCACAGTCTGCGTGGGAATTATTTAAACTTTAACATATAAAATCGGGTGCTCTGCTTGCTGATTCTTTGGTGGAGAGTATAGTTTCAAAACCATTCTGGGAAATCTTTTCTTTGGAGCTGGCAATTTTCTCCAAAGAGGAAATCTTCTAGGTTCCAGTTGGGAATGGTAGGATGAAGAGTGTTTCCTCTGGCTCCTGGGACTATGGATTCCTTTACTCAGTTTATGGATTTTTATTAATTTTTTTGTTTTATCTCTGTTTCTCATGCCTGCCCTTTGTTGTTCCTGGTGTTTGTTCACAAGTTTACATTGACTCCAGTTCAGAGTTAACCTTTAGCCACTGTGTGAGGATAGGTATGTGTTGTGCGAGTTATAGAAAAAGCATTTAGATTTCTCAGCAGTCTTTGTGCTTCATTTTTACCTTTTCTGTACTGAATATTGTACTAAATTCCTCCAAATACCAGATTTTTTGGGTTGCCTGGACAAATGGATTCTCTTCCTACACTTCCCACTCAGATGTTTTGTTGTTAACTTCCTCCACACTGGGAAGTCAGTTTCCAGTCCTCCAGCCACTTTCCATTTAAAAATGTGTTGAAATCTCTTTGACAATAAGTCTGCCTTGGTGTTTTCTTGGTCTTTATGAGTGAAGATGATTTATTTCTTTGCCCTCATTGTAGCAGGATTTTGGGAAAGTGAGGAAATAAATGTATGTGATTAATATACCATTATCACAGGCTTGTTTTAGTCATTATACTGGTTAAGAACTAGATCTGGATTTTAATCCATACCGCTTATTGTGGTATTGCTTTAGTTCTCTACTTAACCTGTGAACCCTTATTTTTCATTTGTAAAAATAGAATTTATGATATCTAATATGAGAATTAAATGAGATAGTGAATATAAAGTTCTTAACATACTACATGCATTATATGTGCTTATTAATTGGTAATTGTCATAAACTGTTTTTGCTGGCCTCTGGCAAACTGAGGTTTTACTGTATTCCTTCCTCCCCGTAAAAGATTTGAATAAGCAAAATATTTAATATTACTTAGTTTGACAGTGGAAGGGTTACTGTGACTCATATGAAATGATGATTTCACAAATGTTTATATTTAAGTAACTATACTTAATATGTTTGTATAAAAATACTGTGAATACAACTTGTTCAAATATAAGTTGTCTAAAACTGTAACTAGTTTTCTACTCAAGTAAAATGACTTGGGAGTGTGGGGCACTGACCCACACACACAGTTGAAAATTCGTGTATAACTTTAGACTTACCCCAAATTTAGCTGTAGTATGGTTCCACAGGTATCTGCAGGGGGCTGGTTCCAGGACCTCACTCCTATCCCAAAGGATACCAAAGTCTGTGGATGTTCAAGTCCCTTATATTAAACAGTGTAAAATATTGCATACAATTGGCCTTCCACATCCGTGGATTGCCAACTGCAGATTGAAAGTACTGTTTTTAATATGAGGTCAGTTGAATCCACGAAAACGAAACCCAGGGATTCAGGGTGTCAACTATATATTTATTGAAGAAAAATCTGCGTTTAAGTGGACCTGCACAGTTTACCCCTGTGTTGTTCAAGGAACTGTGATTGTAATTATGGCCCATATTTGAAACAGAATCTAAGGCAGTGGTTGTCAACCTTCCTAATGCCGCGACCCTTTAATACAGTTCCTCATGTGGTGGTGACCCCCCAACCATAAAATTATTTTCGTTGCTACTTCATAACTGTAATTTTGCTACTATTATGAATCATAATGTAAATATCTGATATGCAGGATGTATTTTCATTGTTACAAATTGAACATAATTAAAGCATAGTAATTAATCACAAAAACAATATGTAATTATATGTGTTTTCCGATGGTCTTAGGCGACCCCTGTGAAAGGGTCGTTCGACCCCCCAAAGGGGTCGCGACCCACAGGTTGAGAACCGTTGATCTAAGGAAACCAGGTATTCTTATAAGTGGATAACTGTTTCATGACCTTAATTCAGAAACTTGTGGTACAGAGAATTTCTTATAGGTTTCTTTAAAAACAATTTTAAAAAATTATACTTTTGATAATGAGAATTATTCTAGTTTGTATTTTTAATTAAAAAATTGTTTTTCTAGTTCCTTGGTATATAAGATTGCACACTTAAATTTCTTTTATCCAGAGAGCTTAGTATAATAAAAGCAGTTTAATAATGATAAATTATTATTTATCATTTCAGGAAATTGCAAGACCTAATAAGGCTGAAGGAGAAACAGAAACATCAAATTCTGAAAGGTAAATAAATATAAGGAAAAACTGAATCTCAAATCCAAGTATGAGTATAAAATGACATTTGAGTTGTATTAGTGTAGTTAAATAAAGGAGTATTTAAATACTTGTATATGTTGTTGTTTTTAATAATGACTTTTAATTAAAATAAAATTTTGAAATCTTAATACAGCAAAATTCTATTACAGATCCCTAATTTTGAAATACTTTTATACATGTAGAGTATAAAGTTGTTAAAATTTTTTAAAGTACTTACTAGTAAGTAAAATTTAACAGATTTTTATTGACCCTATTAAACGAAAACAGTTACAATTAGCTACAAGTTACAACATGGGGACAATTATCACAAATAGGTAATTTTGAAATCTTTTTTTAAAAAGTATTTTCAAAAAGCTTTAAAGCTACTTATTTATGTGGTGGCATCTCAGCTTAAAGTTTCAAAATTTAGAAATTGGTTTTTAAAAATTTAACGCTCAGGTAGAACACTAAAGAACACAAGACACCCTCTAGTTCCCTTTCCCATCAGATCTGAACACCGATCTTGGTGGTCGTAGAGGAGGAAAAGTAATAGTGAAGCTGGCCTCACAGTCCTTACAGTCTGTGGGCTAGTTTCAAACAAGGTATTAAAAAAAAAAAAAAAGAACACAAGACATTCACAATCTTTTAGTAAAAGAATTCCAACTTTCTAATTAGAACTCTTTCCAGATAAAGATAATCTTATTTTACCTTTTGAATTAAATAATTTCTCCATTTTTATCTTTCTACTGTATATTTTACAGTAGGTTGCTTGTTAATCTCATGAGATTAATTAATCTATTGCTCTTAAAAAACAAATTATGGAGTAAGGTTTTATGAAAGGTCTTAACTTAGACTTAACTTAGCATTTTTCATAGAATCCTGGAAGGAAGGGAAAAGAGTTTAAAGGGAAAAAGCAGACTAGTCACTTCTGAATTACTTAACATTTTTTATAAATTGTAGTTAGTCCAATAAGAGCTGAACAAAAATGACAATTATACGACTCTAAATGAGGAAAATAAAATTTTTTTCAGATGATGTAATTGACGTATAAGAAACAAAAAAGTGAGCTAATATTCTTTTCTATATACCAATAACATCTTTTCTATATACCAGTTATAAAATATAATGGACAAAAGAGTTAATTCACAATATTAACAAAAATGAGAAATGTGTGCCGAAACCGGTTTGGCTCAGTGGATAGAGCGTCGGCCTGCGGACTGAAAGGTCCCAGGTTCGATTCCAGTCAAGGGCATGTACCTGGGTTGCGGGCACATCCCCAGTGGGGGATGTGCAGGAGGCGGCTGATCGATGTTTCTCTCTCATCGATGTTTCTGACTCTCTATCTCTCTCCCTTCCTCTCTGTAAAAAATCAATAAAATATATATATAAAAAAATGAGAAATGTTTAAGATCTAAATAAAAAACCAAAATTTACTGAGATAGAAAATAATATATTAATAACTTGCATGATAGGCCATTTGCAAATTAAGTTATGGGTTTAGTGAACATTTAGTTAGAAATTCCAATGACATTTGGTTTGGAAACTGACAAAGTTTAAGGTTCCGATTTTTCTATTTATTAATACCATGCTTTATTTAATTACTAGAGGCCCAGTGCACAAAAATTTGTGCACTGGGGGGGGGGGTCCTCAGCCCAGCCTGTGCCCTCTTGCAGTCTGGGACCCCTTGGGGGATGACCACCAGGGGATTGGGCCTAAGCTGGCAATCAGACATCCCGCTGGCAGCCCAGCAGCCCTCGGGGGATGTCCACTTGCCAGCGGGGAGCAGACCTAAGCTGCAGTCGGACATCCTTAGCGCTGCTGAGGAGGCAGGAGAGGCTCCCACCACCACCGCTGTACTGGCAGCCATCATACTGGCTTGTGGCTGAGCAGAGTTCCCCCATGTGGGAGCGCACTGACCACCAGAGGGCAGCTCCTGCATTGAGCGTCTGCCCCCTGGTGGTCAGTGTGTGTCATAGTGACCAGTCATTCCCAGTCTTTCTGCTGTTAGGGTCAGTTTGCATATTACCCTGTTGCTATATAGATAGAGGCCTGGTGCACGGGTGGGGGCCGGCTGGTTTGTCCTGAAGGATGTCCTGGATCAAGGTGGGGGTCCCGCTTGGGTGCCTGGCCAGCCTGGATGAGGGGCTGATGGCTGTTTGCAGCTGGTCACACCCCCTTCAGGGTGGAGGCCCCCACTGGGGTGCCTGGCCAGCCTGGATGAGGGGCTGATGGCTGTTTGCAGCTGGTCACACCCCCTTTAGGGTGGGGGTCCCCACTGGGGTGCCTGGCCAGTCTGGATGAGGGGCTGAGGGCCATTTTCAGGCTGGCCGGCAACTGAAGCTCCCAGCCTCTCTTTTTTTTCTTTTTTCTTTTTCTGGGATTTATTTACCTTCTATAATTGAAACTTTGTTGCCGTCACTGGCATTCCCAGCTCTGAGGCTACAGCTGGCTGAAAGCAGGTATCTGGGGTTTGTTTGGCTTCTATAATTGAAACTTTGTTGCTTTTGGAGCTGTTGCTTTCGGAGCTTAGAGCAGACCGCAGCAGGCGGGGAACCTTGGCTTCCTCCATCACTGGAGCAAGCAAACCTCCTGCTCGCTTCAGCTGCGTGGCTGCTGGCCACCATCTTGGTTGGTAGTTAATTTGCATATCTTGCTCATTAGCCAATGGGAAGTGTAGTTGAGGTACAGTTAATTACCCTTTTTGTCTTTTATTAGATAGGATTGCCCTGTTGTTAGATATTAAGGTTGTTTCTGAATTCACTATTGCAACATTATTTTAATGGACATCCGTGTACAAATATCCTTTACATTTTTAAATGATTAAATTTAGGAAGAAGGGCTGTATAATGAAAGCAGTTTGCTCTATTAAATAACAAAGCACATTGTAAAATGTATAATTGTTAAGATTATGTAGTATTGGCTCAAGAATAGTGTAAAGACAGATCAGAGCAAAATGCATTGCAGAGAAATGGCCTTATAAATATTATTTATTAAATAATATTTGATACCATTGGTTTGATATTTGTCATTTCATTAGGGAAAAGTCTAAATTCTGGGTAGATTTATGTAAGAAATAAGACTTGTGTTATCATAAATTAATTCTCACTAAAATAAACATTGTTACATCTAGATAAGGGGCTAGAGATACTCTTAGAAGTCTTTTGTTTCTAATGTTTTATTATTTACTAGAATCTAGTGGTCGGCAAACTCATTAGTCAACAGAGCCAAATATCAACAGTACAACAATTGAAATTTCTTTTGAGAGCCAAATTTTTTAAACTTAAACTATATAGGTAGGTACATTGTTATTAACTTAATTAGGGTACTCCTAAGGCTTAGGAAGAGCCACACTCAAGGGGCCAAAGAGCCACATGTGGCTCGCGAGCCGCAGTTTGCCGACCGCGGTACTAGTTTCTATTAACACATCAAGGTAAAAGTAAAGACATAGACACACACTCAAACATTACATATACAAACATGCACACACATCTATGAATATATGCATGCATATTTACATATATTTTTTCAGGCATATTTTTGTGTTTTCTTTAATTAGATTGTTAAAAATTAGGAAAATATTTGTGAATGCTTATTAGATTTTGCATAGGGAAAGACACTATAACCATAAGAGGACATATAAATCATAAAAGAAAAATAGCTATTTTTACATATATATTTCTTTCTTATTTAAAGTACTCTTAGAAATTAATAAGAAAGCTTAAATTTTAACTAAAAACAGGCAAGGATGATAACAAATGAAAATGATAACCAGGACTAAACCCAGTTGATAGACTCTACAGGTCTATTTTTAATATGTGATTCTGGAGTTTTTCATTCTTGCCTCAGAATATGGCCATCTCCTAAATTGTAACATGGCAAGTACCGTGAACCTGTTTTGTTTTGTTTTTTTCTTCCTTTTTGGTGGGCAAGTGGGCCTTGGCTTTGGAAAAAAAAAATTTAGAGCATGTCTTTATTATGATAATGTTAAAAAACATTGTATTATGAAGCAATAGGTAATAAATGGCCTTATTTTTTCAGTAAACATGATAAAGCTTCTTCAGAGGAAAAAAGTGGATGTGATGCAAATGCATTTGAAGGCTCATCAGCAACAAAAAGTGAAGAAAGCACAATAATTTCAGATAAGGAAAACAATACCTGCCTGGAAGACAAAGAAACTAGCTCAAAGACTATCTTCAGTTATGTTTCAAATATTGGTAAAGATAAAGTGGAAAAGGAAAACCAAATAGAGACCATTGATCAGGAAACGGAGTTGAAGATGTGCCAAAGTTCAGAAAACATAACTTCATGTGATCAGATTAAAGATCAAAGCTCCAGTGAAGCTAGGTTTTCTTCAAAGAATATTAAGGATTTGCAGTTAGCATCTGGTGATGTGAGCATTGATCAGTTTTTGAGAAAAAGAGATGAACCTGAATCTGTTAGTTCTGATGTCAGTGAGCAAGGCAGTATTCATCTGGAACCTTTGACTCCATCGGAGGTACTTGAGTATGAAGCCACAGAAATTCTTCAGAAAGGTAGTGGTGATTCTTCAGCCAAGTCTGATGAAGTAGTGTCTGATCAAAAAGATGATGTTCCTGAAGAAAATAGCCCTAGCACAACAGAGACAACAGTAGACCTGGCAGATGAAAAAGAAAGAAGTTGAAATTAGTTGTCATTCTCAGTTTTAGTGTATCAGTGGTAAGAGCATTCAGATCAGTGCTACCAGGTGAGCTCAGTGGTGCTGTTGTAAAGTTCAGAAATAGAAAAATGTGAGGAGGTCATTTATACACTTTATCTGTATGTTCAACCTAGGTCATTACAGAAATCAGTTGAATAATAGCATGATTAGTATGAATTTCCAAGAGGTTTTAAAACATAAATAGAAAAGCTTCATTTAACAGTTCTCAAGGAAATGCAAGTTGGTTGCCAGTATGAATTGATTATTAGAATATTATTTATGTTTATAAAGCAGTGAAACTTCCATCAATCCTAAGCTAAAAATCCTTATTACCTTTATATTCTTCTCAATTAACTTAAAAGAAGAAATTTGGAAACCATATATCTTTTGGGAATTTTTAGATAATGGCTAATTGGCATTGTTAATAAAGCTTTATTTGGAGTATGATGCTGGTAAATGTGTAGAGTGTGAAATTAATGAATCTATTGAGAATTTTGATACACATAAACTTAATTTTGGATGTAATGTAACATTCCAGACTGTCAGAAGCATGTAAACAGAATATTTGAATCTGTGTACCTCCATACATGTGTTAGTCTGCCAGGCTATAAGCTTACCTTAAACTTTCAGTGAAAGTGAAATTATTAAAACATAAATTTATATTTGTGTTTTTTGTCAGTGTGAGCTGTGTAGAAATCCCTCGATGTACTAGTTGTATAAAGTAGAAACCCACTGTTAAAACTCCTGTAGTTATTATGTTTTTAACATTGTTTTAATGATCTTTAGAAATAGACCCATAAAAATGGTCTGGAAACCAAACCAAAGTATGGAATAATGTAGATATTGTAAAGCCGCCAACTGAAAACATGTCCTGGCATGAATCCAGCCATGTTTAAGTGACGTTTTCTTTAATTGTAAAATAGAAACTTCAAATGGGTCCTAAAGCAGTGATGTAAAAAATTGTTTTGGGGATATTTAGTCTAATTTATCCATAAGATGGCTGCTAAGTTGATTTCTCAGTTGTTTTTAATCATCTAGAAATAATAGATTTAGAAATGAGTAAATGAACAACCATAGTTTGCTTTGAAGTACTAATAAACTTTTATTTAAAATGCTACATTTTTACTTCTTAAAATGTGCTTTGAATCCTTAAATTTTGTTTCACTGAATGTTAAATGTTTTAAATGTCTGTTAAAATCCTGATGTATATAGTAGTTTTTGAGTAAATATTTGCAATAAAAATATGTACCTGAATAATTTTATTTTTCAGAAAACTGCTTGAGTCAGTTTACCTTTGGTGCCTTTACAAACTATATTTGTTTAAGGACTTTTCATGTTAAAGTTAGTGGTACAATTTCATTCTGTATTCTTTACTTGGTGTATGATATATCATAAATTAGTACTTAAAGTATAGAGGGAAAATACTGCTAATATTTACAGAGAATGGATTTGTTTGCTAAATCCTTTCACTTCAAGAGATATATAATTTAATATTATAGTTTTCTATCTGCTCAGTACATTGAAGAGACTAAATGGGCAAAATATATTATCAACATATTTTCTTGACTATTTGGTGTGTAGGAGTGTAAATATTTTCATTTTTTCTGCACCCAAGAAAAAATAGGGAGAAAAGGACCCATTAACTGTCACCCTTAACCTTGTTTAAACATAAATCTATATAGTGGAAAAGATTTGGGGAGCAATTTAAATCGTAGAAGAGCAGGGAGTAGAGAAAAGTCTATATAAGGACCACTTTCTGAATGTCATTCAGTTAGTTAGTTGCCAAGCCTATGCTAGAAAATCCTTGCGCCCTGTACCAGATAAGTCCAAATGACGCTATAATCCTTTTTGAGCTTTGGGGTTGTTCTTCTGCCTCTATAAGAATAGTGGTATTCAAAGTAGCTGATCAGTAAACTGTTTGATTTTTAGAGAGAGAGGGAGTGAGAAGGAGAGAAAGAGACACATTGATGTGAGATTGAAGCATTGACTGGCTGCCTCCTGCACGCCCCCTGAGCTCAGGCATGTGTTGGGAATCGAATGGGCAACCTTTCCGTGCATTGGACGATGCCCAAGCAACCAGCCAGAAATTAAACATTTTTTTTAAAGGATTTTGGTAAGATATGAGTTACCTTGTTTTTGTTGTAAGTAAAAAATGAGGAAATCAACTATGTGGGCAATTATTTGCCTAAGATTACAAAGCCAAGATTGAACTCAATTTGATCTGATTCTAAAGTTATTATTTTCTACCTTACTTATAGTTCTTAGCATTTATACTGAATGCTGCTTATTAAAATAAATACCTTTTTTTTTTGCAAATAACATGCCCATTGATGATACAATTATAGTTTGTTTTATTATTTATACAGTTATATGTATACTAGTGGCCCAGTGCACAAAATTTGTGCACATTAAAAGGGAATTAATTAGGAAATATTTTAATATTTCTATTATTTCAAATATTGCTATTTGCCCTTTCTATATAAGTGTCAGAGATGAAAGAAAATGAGTAAAATGTATATGAAAACCTCCCTCCTGTCAGAGTCTGGGGTGCACCGCGGGAACCAGAGTCAAGTCCCCGCCCACCCGTGCCTCAAAATCACGTGAGACCCAGACCCAGCTGGCCCCACCGCCATCAAGCCCTGCAGGGCAGGGGGGACCAGCCTTAGGTCCCCTGTCATGCCCTGCCAGGCAGGGGCCACAGCCTCACATCCCCTGTCAAGCCGTGCTGGGCGGGAGGCACGGCCTCAGGTCCCACTGGGCAGAGGGCATGGCCTCACATCCCCCGTCAAACCCTGCTGGGCAGGGGGGTGTGGCCTCAGGTCCCCAGGCCCGGCCTCAGGCCCCCTGGCCCCAGCACAAGGGCGAGGGCATGATGACCATTTGCATATTAGCTCTTTATTACAGTGGGGCCTTGACTTACGAGTTTAATTCGTTCTGTGACGGAGCTCGTAACTCAAATTAGTTGTGAACGAGTGAGACACGTGATGCTGGGCTGATGTCGTGGCGTTCACTGTGACGTTCGCTGCGCCAACTAGCGGTGGGGCATCTGAAGCTGGCTCGTAACCTGAATTTTTGCTCGCAACTCAAAGCAAAAAATCGGCCGAGAAACGTCTCGTATCTCGAAAAACTCATTAGTCGGGACACTCGTAAGTCAAGGCCCCACTGTATATAGGATGGCATGGAGGACTTCTTAACCTAAAGAAAAGGACCTCCCAATCTTTTTTTTTTTAGCAGGAATTGAGGAATTTTATCTCAAGAGGGGGGATTAAATAATCATTTTATTAATAGGAAAGACAGTATGCAATTTAAAGATATACTTTACAGCCCAGGCCAGTGTGGCCTAGAGAAATATGTATCTTCTGACCCCATTACCCTTTTCACCCACTTCTCAAATCAGGCAACCACCAATCTGTTCTGTATATCCAAGAGCTCAGGAACTTTGTGTTTTTTTCCTTTTAGATTCCACATATGAGATCATATGGTATTTATCTTTCTCTGTCTGCCTTATTTCACTTAGCATAATGCCCTCGCGGTCTATTCATATTGTTGCAAATGACAAGATTCACTTTTTAATGGGTGAGTAATATTCCAGTGTGTTGTGTATGTGTGTGTATCACATTTTCTTTAGGTGTTCATCCATCAGTGGACACTAAGATTTTTCCATACCTTGATTATTGTAAATATGCTGTAATGAACATAGGTGCATATATCTTTTCAAGTTTTAGTGTTTTCAAATAAATATCCAGAATTGGAATTGTTGGATCATATGGTAGTTCTATTTTTTTTTTAATCCTCACCAAGGATATGGCGTTTTTCTGTTTGCTTGTTTTTGGGGTTTTTTAGAGAGAGGAAGGGGAGAGAGAGACATTGATTGGTTGCCTCCCGTATGAGCCCCTACATGGGATCAAACCCACAACCTTTTTTGGTATATGGGACTACAACCACCTGAGACACCTGGTGAGGGCTGGTAGATCTATTTTTAATTTCTTGAGGGACCTCCATACTGTTTTCCATAGTAGCTGCACTAATTTACATTCCCACCAATAGAGCACAAGAGTTCCCTTTTCTCCACATTTTTACCAATATCTGTTAGTTTTTATAATAGTCATTCTAACAGGTGTGAGGTAATACTGTGGTTTTAATTTGCATTTCCATGATGATTGGTGATGTTGAATATTTATTCATGTACCTATTGACCATTTGCATATCTTCTTTGGAAAAATCTTTCTTTTCAGATCTTCCCCATTTTTTCAATTGAATTTATTGGGGTGACATTGGTTCACAAAATCATACAGGTTTCAAGTATACAACTCAACAAAACATCATCTGCACACTGCATCCTGCGTCCATTGCCCCAAGCAAAGCCTTTTTTTGTCCCCATCCCGCCTCCCCACCCCCGTCTTTGCCCACCTGGACCTATCCTTTCCCTTTGGCTATCACCACACTATTGTCTGTGTCTATGTGATACACACACACATACATATATACACACACAAATACATATATCTCAATACTTTAACCTTCTTTCATCCAGTCTCCCAATCTTCCTCCCTTCTGACAGCCATAAGTCTGTTTCATGTATCCACACTTCTGTTTCTATTTTGTTCACTAGTCTATTTAGTTCATTAGATTCCACATATAAGTGAGATCATGTGGTATTTGTCTTTCTCTGGCTTATTTCTCTTAGCATAATACTCTCCAGGTTTATCCATGCTATTGCAAAAGGTAAGATTTCTTTCTTTTTTATGGCTGAGTAGTATTCCATTGTGTAAATGTACCACAGCTTTTTTATCCATTCATCCACTTGGACTGTTCAAATCTTGGCTATTATAAATAACGCTGCAATGAACCTAGGGGTGCATATATTCTTTCAAATTAGTGTTTTGGTTTCTTCAGATATATTCCCAGAAATGGGATTGCTGGGTCAAAAGGCAGTTCCATTTTTTATTTTTGAGGTAATGCCATAATGTTTTCCACAGTGGCTGCACCAGTGTGCATTGCTACCAACAGTGAACTAGGGTTCCCTTTTCTCCACATCCTTGCCAGCACTTGTTTATTAATTTATTGGTGATAGCTTAATTGGAATGTTTGGGAGTTATTTTGATTGTCTTTTACTATTGACTTAGATAAGTTCTTTATATATTTCAGTATTACTTCCTTATCAGATATATGGTTTGCAAATACCTTCTCCCATTCAGTAGGTTACCTTTTTATTTTGGTGATGGTTTCCTTTGCCGTACAGAGACTCTTTAGTTTAATGTAGTACCACTTGTTAATATTTGTTCTTGTTGCCTCTGCTTTTGGTTTCAAATAGAAAAAAAATAATCACCAAAGTCAGTGTCAAGGAGCTTACCACCTATGTGTTCTAGGAGTTTTATAGCTTCAGGTCTTATATTCAAGTCTTTAGTCCATGTTGAGTTAATTTTTGTGTATGATGTAAGATAATGTCCAGTTTCATTATTTTGCATGTGGCTGTCTAATTTTTTCCAACACCATTTATTGAAGAGACTATCTTTTCCTATTGTATATTCTTGGCTCCTTTGTCATAAACTAATTAACCATGTGTGCATAGGTTTATTTTTTGGCTCTATTCTGTTCCATTGATCTACATGTCAGCCTTTATGCTGATGCCATACAGTTGTGTGTGTGTAGGTTTTTTTTTTTCATTTGAAATATATATATATTTCTCTTTTTTTAATTAAATATTTTATTGAGTTTATTGGAGTTACATTGGTTAATAAAATTATATAGGTTTAAGGTGTACCAGTTCTATAATACATCATCTATATGTTGTGTTGTGTGTTTACCACCCCAAGTCATGTCTCTTTCCATCACCATTTATCCCTCATTTACCCTCTCCTGCCTCCTCCCCCCAACATTTCCCTCTGGTAATCACCATACTGTTTTCTGACTATGAAGCTTCTTTTTTTTTTTTTTCTTAATCCTTTTACCTTTTCATCCAGGCTCCCTGTCCCATTCCCTCTGACAGCTAGGACTTTATTTCTATTTTTTTTGTTTTGTTTATTTTTTTCATTAGATTCCACATATAAGTGAAATCATATGGTATTTGTCTTTCTCTGACTGGCTTATTTCACTTAGCATAATACTCTCCAGGTTTATCCATGCTATTGCAAAAGGTAAAATTTCTTTCTTTGTTATGGCTGAGTAGTATTCCATTGTGTAAATGTATCACAGCTTTTTTATCCACTCATCTACTGATGGGCACTTGGGCTGCTTCCAAATCTTGGCTATTCCGA